TTTAACATCAGTCTCTCCTTTTCATTCTGTATAGCGAATGAGAAGGATATACTGCTGCCAAATTTAAGTTTAGGTTTAGAGAATCATGCTAGAATCGACATCATTATAATACTCTGGTTGCGGAAATTTTATAGGCTGCGTTCCAAACTCAAATCTATAGTACCCTATAGTACCAATTCATTCTTCCCAAGACGATGAATCAAGCTATGTTTTTCTCTAGTTCTGTACATACTATAGGAGAATGTGCTAGTACCAAACCTGCTCCAGGTCCTTAAATGTCAAAAAAAGTTTCGTACATTTTATATTAAAACTGAATCGTCAAGGCGGAACTTATGGTCTAACTAAGTGCAAAAAGTTGCACTTAGTTAGAGCATAAGTTCAAATTTAAACTGCACTAGAGCGGTACAGCAGCAGAGAGGCGCTGTGCGGCGCGGCTTTGCCTAAACCCACTAACCACTATGCAGTAGCAGCGAGACAACACGGTGCAAAAAACTTCATCTGTATTTAATCTGACTAACGAGATGGGCGCAATAAGTGAAGAAGTTATCATGGTAGCTTTATCGATCGAAGAGACAAAAAACTGACCTTGCACTGAGAAGAACCTCCCAAGAAACTCAAATGCTGTACTTGTTTCCTTTTAATATTGTTAACAGAGACATTAATTTGAAAAATTACTTCAATATAATATAATACATGAAGTCGCCTTTCGTCACATAGTTGGAATCGTAATAGATTCCAATTTATGTATTTATCTATATAGATTCCAATTTCTGTGACGTAATCCATAATAAATGTATGAAACCAATTAGCTTCTGGCGCGCCACGATACGACACGACACGTTATTTTTTTCTGCCTTTAGAATGCAGTCGAACGAACCCACAGACATAAAATACTATAGTATTATAAGCAAGGAACTTATATAATAACTGGAATGCTTAAGCGACCCTCACAATCGTTCCGAAGAGCAAAGCTGAATTGGTGGAGTGTGTCTCGTTCTAGTAGTGTGCCCAAGAAGGAACCCTCTAATTTTCAATTCTGTATCATTTGCTTGAAATTCCAAAAAAATATTAAAATCTTTAAAAGACCTTCCGAGCTTAATGGACGTAAGACTTGGCAATGGTGTCAATTCTGACACGATTCTCTAAACCTAAACTTAAATTTGACAACAGTGTATCCTTGTCATTCTCTATACGGAATGAAAAGGAGAGATTGATGTTAAATTTAGTTTTAAGTTACGATGCATCGTTTTATCAACTGATGTTTAGTTTTTTAACTTAACGAATTAGGTAGATTTTTCTTCATTTTTTGTTCTCGAAAATAGAAAATATTACAGTTATATAAGTTATTTACGGAATTGTTACCATGTACCTTGTTTTTAGCGAGTTTCCGATAGTTCGGCACTGGATTTTCGGCAGACCATATAGTTTTGGAGGCTGGATGTTCCTAGGACTATAATGTTAGTGACCATGAAAGTTTAAAACAATATATTTTCCATAGTGTTTATAGTAGAATAGTATAGTATAAATAAATTGCAATAGTAAAATCCGTTCAAAAGTTTATGCTATTAACCGTTATTAACCGTAAAACATGCTATTTTTTTGATAAGCATAATATTTATGTAACTAGCGGCCGCCTGCGACTTCGTGTGCGAGGTGTTAGTAATTTGCACATACTTTTTCACGCCAAAAGGGGGTTTATTTCTAAAGATACATTATTTGTATATCTATGACTTTTAAAAACAACTATTGACCTCGCCCACATGATAAAATTTAAATTATTTATATCCAAAAAGAGCTTACACATCACAGACATATAATACTATAGCAGACGGAACATAAAACCTAGTTATATTTATGAATCAAAACATGATCTTTTATCCTTTTTGTACTCAGCTACAACTTGATAGTGGCATCTCATTCTTTCATCTATTGCAATACTGACTCACACATCAACAAATGTCGACGCGTGTCATTAGTGTTGGGTAGGACACGACTTGAAAAAGAGTTTGTAAGAGTAGCCTCTTTTTTGTACTGAGCCAGTACAATGTCCCACTTCAAATGAGGCGAGGCGTACTGAAGCTCGGCAACACATTTGAAGTGACGAGTACAAATATGACATTGAGGCGTACAGAAGCTCGACATCACGTTTGTGTGCACGAGTAGCACCTCCTCTTCGCACTATCAATCTTGCTGGATCCAGCATGCAGGACAGCGCTTTACAGATAAAAGAGATAGAGATACAGATGGATAGTGCGTAGAGGACTTAAATGAAATGTCATGCCTCGCTCTCTCTCAGACTTACGAAGAGTGAGTGAGTAACGAGACGCGACTATCGCGACATTTAATGTGAAGTAGTACATTTTAAAATTTTGAGCGGCTCTTACATTTTGACGTCATGTCCGGGACAAATGTACCGCATCTTGTAAGTCGTACTCAACACTACGTGTCATTTTTATTCCTCGCCGCCATTTTATACATGACTTATCGGACATGCGACTTTTCGGTGTTTATTAAGAATATTGCTTTGATGAAACTATATTACAAAACGAGATTATTCAATTACTATGGTCAAGTACAGTGCGTATCGATGTGAAAGTGCTACCTACAATAGAACACCAGGATTAACGTTTCATCAGTAAGTTTTTATGTGTCTTTGTTGTGTACTGAAATGTCTTTGAGTCTTTTTGAAGCTTATTTAAATATTATCGTAACATGTAACATTTTTTACGTAGGATTATTTATCTAAGATACTACCGGTGAAAAGTAATATCTTAAAAGTAAAGAAATAGAAGTAATCAGGTTATATCATGATAGGAAATTCCAATTCTGACAACTGAAGTACTATTGCCATAACAGAGGACGGACTCGGTATCAAAGACAAAAAGTTTCTCGGCATTAATTTTGTTTGCATTACATTGTATTATGAATGTGAATGCAATCAAGAACGTAAATAGATAGGCACCTATTACAGACTAGCTATTCATATTTCTTGGAACATTGGCATCGGTAGGTATATAACCCAAATAACCACATAAACAATTTTGTTCTAGGTTTCCAAAGGATAAAAGTACTCGGAATGCATGGTTAAAATCTATGAAACGTCAGGATTGGCAACCAAATACTTATAGTGTTTTAAGTGTTTTTTGTTTTAAAATAAACAAAAGTAATGATTTTAATAGTTTGATTAAATTCATATGTGATTATGTCGATTATTCAATATTTGACTCGAACAATCCAGATCATGATATAAACCATGTCCACTTGCTTATTAAAGTTGTTAAAATTTTATTTTGATCTTAGATGTAAACATCAATGTTAAGAAACAAATGTATCTCAGAGAAATTTTCTAAAAAAACTTGCATTATTTCAAAATAAATAGATAAAAACTATGCCTTAATTTTTTATTTCAATTTTCCTAATTGTACCTATGTCCTTTCCCTGGGTTAATTCTATCTCCGTGCTCAATTTCATCATTATCGGTTCAGCGATTTCGCCTGGCTAAATTCGCCATGAAGATATTAAACAGACAGTTTTTAACATTTATAATATTATTAGCATGGACATCACATTAGGACCTATCTATTCGGATAGGTATTTCATGAAACAATAATGAAATCCATTATTCTACTATACTAAATGCGGCCCATGCTTTGGTAGAGTTTCAATGTGTGTGTATTTGCCACGCTGTTTAAAACTGAATATTCCGTCTGCTTCTAGTTATATGTCTGTGTTACACATGTAATTCGACTTGATGTTTTTGAAATCTCATAGATGGCGCTGCTTTAAAATTGTCTATTATGTTTATCGGTCTAAGTTACTTATAGTGTGAAGCTAGCTTATAGCATGGATCGCAAAAATTAAGCAACTTTCGCAGTGGTCGGCTATTAGATGGGTGACCAAAATTATTCATACTTACTCGAATTCCTCCGTGTTTTAAGGCACGCTTAGCCGTTGGTCCCGGCTGCAACTGCAGTCGTTAGCACCCACCAATCCGCACTATGCCCGCTTGGTGGATTTTATCCAAAGGGAAGGACTGTGCCCCACGGGTGTACATTAATACGCTGATGATGACGATGACATATACTTTCCGTAAGAGAATCAAAAATGTTTTGTTACCCTACACATGTAATTTGTAAACAAAAATCAAAAACGTACCTATTATAGAAATTCCACACCCAGCATACGCCTCATTTTTACACCATTATGCATAAAGAAATATCATTTTGCACCAGCACATCACAAGATTTTGATCAAAATAATTTGTATTTAGCATTAATAGGACTTCAATCTGGAAGAATATGAGCCATATTGTTTATTGGAAGCATCGCAAGTGTTCTCATGCATAAATGCAAATTACTACTAATGACTACCATTTTAAACAATTTTATTAGATATGTTATTCGTTTAAATAAAAATAAACTCATTTTTGGTTGCATTGATATCAATCAATTGACTGCAATCAAACATACATTCTAATTTAACTTTCAAACTGTATGTTCTAGTTCTTATTAATGGTGGTCGAGATAATTTGAAAAGTACCCTTTGATTATTTTTATTAACACTGACAATTGCAAGAAAGGGACAAACTCCACTTTCGTCGTTGTCCTGCTCGGAACATTTTTCCCTCTGAAGTTAGAAACAAAAATGTACTTTATGTAACACTGCATAGAGTACATTTTTTGAAATCTAATATTGTTTCGTAAGCATTCATTTTACACATTTACTGAAACATAGGGGAAAGGGGATTGACTTGGCTGCCACTTACTTTGACTTGATTTATTACTTTGACCACGAGTGCTATAGAATTTGTAAACATTTTAACACTTGACATTGGCTAAATGCACAAGTCGTGCGAAGCCATATAGAAAAGAAAAAAAAAACCCACTGATATTCCGGGGTACCTACTTCACACATGTATCGTATTTGCTATGTTAAATTTTGACAGCAGGCTGTTCCTGTCACTCTTTTATGGAGGGAAAAAGAGAGACTATTACAAGCTTACAAAAGCAGATATGAGTTTACAGAGAATACAGAGATTAATCCCGTAAACCGCAAAGAAATCAACGAGGGAAAAATGAATTTATTTTCAAATTATCAGATCAAATGGACAAATGGTTAACGTAAATTATAGAAGAAATTATACATTATTTCCGTACAGTTAACTATCGCAATTTTAAATTGTTAACAGTTCTTTCTTATTCAAAAACTTAACCTGGATTCTCATATAATGTAAGTATTGCTCGAGTGCTTACATTCTTATTATCTGCTGCTCATTATTGTACCCACCTTATATTTTATTTTGTACTAACAAAAACAACTTTAACGTTGTGTTTTAACCTAGCCTGCATTTCACATAATGTAAATATTTTGTGGTTCTGGTATTTTCATGAATATTACTGCCAGTTATTGTCTTCCTCGGAGATTGAATTACATAGCTTAATAATGTCATCCTCTTAATACCTTTATTTTCCTTAGTCATAAAGGCATGTCTTATATTATGTTCTGTAATAATAAATTAATAATTCTGTAATTCTTTTCCTGGAGGGTGTAACTGTCCAGGAGAAGGTTACGCTAACATTTACAGTAACTAAAAGTCAAATTGCATATCCATCAATGCTTTATGGGACAAGTATCCCTTTGGTGTTTTATTAGCGCAGTAGTGGATCAATTAAATGTCTCGGTGGCTATTACTTCCATTTGTTAAAGGCCTTCAGCTGAACTTATTTATTACTTGTAAAGTACAGTAATTTTACAACATTCTAATTTTATCATGGGCAAGGTTTTTATCTGTCTATGCCCATGTTCACACAACTCACATGTTTGATCCTCCTTGATTTTCCCTTTTTTTTTGTTTGCATTAAGACATATCAAAAGCCTGTGAAAATAACTGATGGATTATTGGGTTTAATTTATTTGATTGTAGGTCATCAAATCCTGATTCAAGTCTGTTGCAGAGAACAATCGAGCTGAACTATGCTAACAAAAAACGTGCTAGTTCTTTAAAATGGATTGTGGTGAATACCATAGTTTTCCTGGTCTTCGCCTATGATTTGTAAGTAAATTTTATTTTTAGAAAAAAAAATCCACATGGACCAGGCAGCGGACGGGACTCGAACCCGCATCCTTTGCTATCCGGGTGAATGCACTGACCATTATGCTACCACGGCCCTATTTGCCGTGTCGAAATGCTATCAATTTAGCAGTTAAATGCTTAAAAAATAAATAAAAAATTAAGTTTCATCAAATTATGTTCAAAATTACTTTGTACTCTACATTTATAACTAGTGTTGGGTTGACTATGTGAACAATAAACATATAATTGTCTTCACATACACAGTTCATTTTTATTAGAATACAATAAAATTACATCTGTTCAAAGCTTTTGAAATCAGACTTTTTTTTTTACTTTATAATTTAATTATGGTCCAAATGTGTTTTTTTAAATAAAATTTATTTTAAGCTTGGATAAAAATTAGGATAGTCATAAAATAACAAGCATTTCAATACCATAAATTCTTTATAGAAAAAAGTTCAATAATCTCAATTAAGGGAATTGATGTATTATATAAAGTGGTTGGTCCTTTGAAAAATGAGCTCATAAAAACATAATAGCCTAGAGAACTGAATAAAGATTAGCCAGTAACGGGGCAGTAGGATAGTACACTTGAAACATTTTGGCAGTTATGAAGTTAAGGTTATGAAGTTAACAGCTTATGCATCCCCTGTGTATTTACATCACCTACTACTACTGTGCTACTACTAACTTCATAGCCACCAATAAATTTGAATTTTGCTGTATTGGAATGGGTATGAGGAGCTCGTTGGCGAAAGTGGTCAGAGCTTTCGGCTGCGATCTTTAAGGTTGAGCAACTTTCGCAGAGGCCGGTCATCGGATTAGTGACCAAAAATTTTCCATCTCGTGCTTCGCAAGCCACATAAAAACGCCGGTCCCGGCTGCATCTGCAGTCGTCGGCGGCCACCGATCCGCACGGAGCCCGCTCAGGGGTCACGGCCCATTCTCTCCATTGTATCCTTAAGGAAGACTCGACATTAACAGGCTGATGATGATGTATGTGGCGGCGCAGATGGGGCGGGTGCGGACACGGGTGGTGGTCGGGGCTGAGCGCACTGCAGGTGGTGGAGGCGGCCGCGTGCGGCGTGGCGGCCTGCAACCTGCTGCAGCACGCTCTCAGCGGGCGCGGGCCCGCGCGGCGACCGGTGCCGCTCACGCCGGCGCAGCGGCGCCTGCTGGGCCTGCAGCACACTAGGCTGGGTATGGGTGTACCGATATGATGACACGCGCACGTTATATATGCATGCTCCTTGTACACAACCTGCTGCAGCACGCCCTCAGCGGACGCGGGCCCGCGCGCCGACCGGTGCCGCTCACGCCCGCGCAGCGGCGCCTGCTGGGCCTGCAGCACACCAGGCTGGGTATGGGTGTACCGATATGATGACACGCGCACGTTATATATGCATGCTCCTTGTACACAACCTGCTGCAGCACGCCCTCAGCGGGCGCGGGCCCGCGCGCCGACCGGTGCCGCTCACGCCCGCGCAGCGGCGCCTGCTGGGCCTGCAGCACACCAGGCTGGGTATGGGTGTACCGATATGATGACACGCGCACGTTATATATGCATGCTCCTTGTACACAACCTGCTGCAGCACGCCCTCAGCGGGCGCGGGCCCGCGCGCCGACCGGTGCCGCTCACGCCCGCGCAGCGGCGCCTGCTGGGCCTGCAGCACACCAGGCTGGGTATGGGTGTACCGATATGATGACACGCGCACGTTATATATGCATGCTCCTTGTACACAACCTGCTGCAGCACGCCCTCAGCGGGCGCGGGCCCGCGCGCCGACCGGTGCCGCTCACGCCCGCGCAGCGGCGCCTGCTGGGCCTGCAGCACACCAGGCTGGGTATGGGTGTACCGATATGATGACACGCGCACGTTATATATGCATGCTCCTTGTACACAACCTGCTGCAGCACGCCCTCAGCGGGCGCGGGCCCGCGCGCCGACCGGTGCCGCTCACGCCCGCGCAGCGGCGCCTGCTGGGCCTGCAGCACACCAGGCTGGGTATGGGTGTACCGATATGATGACACGCGCACGTTATATATGCATGCTCCTTGTACACAACCTGCTGCAGCACGCCCTCAGCGGGCGCGGGCCCGCGCGCCGACCGGTGCCGCTCACGCCCGCGCAGCGGCGCCTGCTGGGCCTGCAGCACACCAGGCTGGGTATGGGTGTACCGATATGATGACACGCGCACGTTATATATGCATGCTCCTTCTACATTTTTTGTATCTTTTTCATCATAACGAGAAAAACGCCCCTGACTCTGACCCAACGTTCGGCTGATTTTAAGGAGCTATGCTCTGTCTGGTATCTTCGACATTGTTAAATGATGAAAATCCCAAAATATTAAAGTCATCAGTGAAAACAAGGACAGGGTATGAAAAGCTACTAGTCAACTCATTAAGAAAGAAGTAAAGACAAACAGTAGCGGTCCAAAATGCGATACCTAGGTAACTCTTAAAGGGACAGTTACCGAAGAAGAGGGATAACGCTTGGCTGTGACCATCTGCAATTTTACTTGGGTACGATTCCAACCACCACCTCAACAAAGCCACGTTAATGCCATAGTGCGCGAATTTAATATACATGGCGTCCCACGGCCTTGCCGCTCGGAGGGAAAGTATGTTAAATATTGAAGATAGGATATTTTATCAAAAGAAGACATAATTTTATTTTTATAATAATAAGAACTGCATTTACAGATTTTTTAAATCGCCTGCCACAACCACAACCAAAAATCAAACTCGTGAAACGTAAAATAAAAACATTTGATGTATTTTATAATAACCATCGAAAAGATTAATCATAAGGATTATCTTTTTCTAAATAACATAGCATTTTTTTTTGTGTTACCGCTTTCTGCGATCAGTCTACACTATAAGCAGAACATTTCAATGACTTTTCGGGCGTGCGAAATGGCTTTTTCAACAAAAAGCTCTTCTCTCATTGTTCCACACTGATCTTCAGTTAATGCCTGTTTTCCTGCTCTCCGATAGTACATCTTTTGAGTCTTTTGGTGTGTTTGCTAACATCAGTGAGAGCCACCGCAAGTTTATTAACATGGTGAACAAGTCTGCCCTGATAGCGCTTAGCTATAGCGTTTATTTCGTCCTTGATAGTGTTGCTTTGCAAGTAGTCGTGCATTTCTGTGCTTTTCACAAACCATGGAGCATTCAGTATGGTGCGAAACACTGAGTTTTGGAATCGCTGCAGGATTTCTAGGTTCGGGTTACTCGCTGTACCCCAAAGTTCGATGTCGTAAATCCAAATTGGTTTTAATACCGCGTTATAAATGAGAAGCTTGTTATTCAAACTGAGACGCGAGTGTCTTCCCATTATCCAAAGGAGTGAGCAAAAGCGAATATTTAGTTCATCCCTTTTCTTTTGAATATGGGTTTTCCATGTTTGCCTTCTGACAAGATGTATCCCCAAGTATTTAGCAACATCACATTGTGGAAGCTGTTCTGTTCCAAGCTTAACTGGTGGACAATTTCCAGTCTTCAGCGAAAAAGTTACATGAGTGGATTTGGAGGCACTCGCCTTTATCTTCCATTTTTCCATCCACTGGCCAATGGTTGTGAGATGTACTTGTAGCTTCTGAGAAGCAATTCTCGGATCCTTGCTGCAACTCAGTGCCACTGTATCATCTGCAAATGTAGCAGATAGTATTTCAGGTGAGTCAGGTAAATCTGCGGTAAACAGTATATAAAACATAGGCCCGGGCACAGATCCCTGCGGAACACCTGCTTTTATTTCGTAGAATCCGGAACGGTCTTCATTAACAACTACTCGGAACATTCTATCTTCTAAGTACGATTTGATGAGAGTGAAAAAGTTGTGCGGAAAGTGTCTCTTAATTTTGTATAGAAGGCCTTCGTGCCAAACTTTATCAAAAGCTTGTTGAACGTCTATAAAGGCGGCAGAACAATACTGGCGCTGCTCCATGGCCGATCTTATCTGACTGACCACTCTGTGAACTTGTTCTACAGTAGAATGTCGCTCTCGAAACCCGAATTGGTGATCAGGTATTAGCTTTTTGTCTTGTACCAGTGTAATTAAGCGAGTGAGGAATACCTTTTCAAACAATTTAGAGGTATGGGCAGCAAGCTAATGGGTCGATAGGATGACACCTCATAGTGGTCTTTGCCAGGTTTAGGTATCATAACGATATATGACACCTTCCATGATTTCGGGAAATACGATAAACGAAGAATACCGTTAAAGAGAGCAGCAAGATATACAACAGCCTTTTTAGGTGTTTTTTTAAGTACTTCAGCTGTCAGTTCGTCATAGCCGGGAGCCTTTTTTGGTTTAAGTGTTCGAATGACTTTCCATAGCTCTCTGGGTGTGAAGTGTTTGATAGGTAGACTTAGCTGTAAATCGCTACTTAAATACTCTTTCACTTCCCTATCCATGTCTTTGGCGCTACTTTCGTTCGGTATAAAAACTCCTTGTAGGAATTCTCCAAAAGCTGCAGCCTTCTCTGTATCAGTTTTAGCCCAGCCGCCGTTGCGAAGTCTCAATGGATATTCCAGATTTTGCGGTTTACACGATGATTTAATTGTGTTCCATAAGCAATACTCCCGACCTCCAGCCTTTATGTAGTAACATTTCTCTAACTGCAATAGGCACATTGTGATATTTATTAGTTTTGCTTTGGTTAGCTGGTGTACTTAGCCAACACGCTGTCTGTATAATTTCGGTTATTGACATAGTTGCTTCTTCCAACTGATCTTCCGTCTTCAAAGGAACTCTAAGGTCTAGATTCTTGTCAATGTACTCTCTAAATGCTTCCCAATCTGTATTCACGTTGTAAATATGCTGTCTTTGTTGCCTTTCGATTAATGTAGTGCTAACTGTGGCTATGATTGGTACATGATCAGAGGCACCATCATAACTTGTTTCAATTTTCATGTAGTGCTCTGTGATATCGCTGAAGACAAAGAAATCTATCAAGTCAGGGTTACGTAGTGGATCAGAAGGGTAATATGTTGGCTGTCTAGTCGTTAGTATGCCAAAGTGTCTATTATCAATACAGCTCTTCAGTTCTCTACCCCTTGTTAGTGTCTTGCTGGATCCCTAGGCTACATGCTTTGCATTTCAATCCCCTCCTACAATAAATCTTGATCCTAAGGTAGAGGAAGGAAGTGAACGCCTCTGAGTTAATTTTTGGCCTAGGCGGACAATAGATTGAGGATATATTCAAGTCGTTGTGTTTGCATTGCACGCGTATTGTTATGGCTTGCATATGTACTGTTTGATATTGCGGCAATACGTGGTGTTTCAACTTCTTCCTTACTATTATTGCAGAACCTGCGTGACCAGTTCCATCTGGATGGTTGGTTGAATAAATGCAATAATTGTTCCTTATACTTGGTTTAGATCTATCAGTCAGGTGAGATTCCGATATTAATACTGTATCAAGCATGTTCATATTCATAATGTTAACTACTTCGTTTACATGGCCTGTTAGACCGTTAATGTTCCACGCTGCTATTCTAAGGGAATCTATTTGTTTGCTATGTGGATAAGCATTGTTGTTAACAGACTCATAAGAGTTCCCATTTGGCTAATTAGAGCGTCTAGCTTCTCAGCTTGTTTTGTGACTAAGTCTTCTAGTTTATTGGTTAGACAGTCAGTTGGTTCGTTTTGCTGTACTACCTGTGCGTAGGTTTTGTCGTGGTTCTATTTTGAGAGTATAGTTTCTTAGTGGGGGTTTGTTCAAATTTCTTATTTTCTCTTGTTTTATTTTTATTTATTTAACCTTTTTCATTAGTATGATCTGATTTTAAATTAGTATTGATCACATTTGGTTCCTTCTTATTTTTCCTGTTATAAATTTCTAGGAACACTTCACCCCCTTTATAGTTGGCTGGATGTTGTCCTAGACAAAGGGCACATTTTGCAGGAGTAGTTCTATCTGTTTTCTTACAATCTATAGTTTTATGACTTCCTGCACATTTTACACATCTATAAGGGCGCATGCAATTGTTTTGTTTGTGGCCATATTGTTGGCACCGTTTACATTGTGGAATACTGTTTTTTCGTTTTGGCTCTTCTATCACTACTGCTGTGTTGTATATATATTTAAGTTGTTTTACAGCACCATTATTAGGTTTGGGTTCTAGATTTACAAAGAAAGTAGATAATGGGATCCTATCTGGTCCATATTTAGCATTGACGATACCACCTTTAACTGTATTTCCTATAGTCTCTATAGCTTCCTTTATGGCACTTATAGGAGTACTGTGATTTAAGTTCTTAATCACTATTCTATAGGGTCTTTCATCCTTTCTTGTAAAAGTGTGTCCAATAAGCTTATGTTCCCTAACAAGCTGTATTAGTTGTTTATATGCTTCAACACTATTACACGATATCCGTAGTTGTTTTTTACTGATGATCTTATAGCTGTACTCAGACCTATCTAGAATAGATCCAATGAGTTCATTGAGTTTTGTTAGGTCTTCGATTCCATAAAGCATGATTGGAGGAGGTTTATTTTGCTTTTGGCGAGTTTTAGCTGGTTTATCTTCTCCTTCATCTAACTGTAGTTCTCTAAATCGGTTCTGTGTCTGGATCTCGTGATCACGTGATGGTGATGGTGAATCACTTAGTTTCCTTCTTTTGCTTCGACGTAGAGTTGGTACGGTTTGCCAATCAATTTGATTACTATTATCTTGTTCCGTATTGTTAGCATTTTCAGGAGCTAGTGGCGATTTTTCTCCTGTAGGTAGGTCTCCAAGGGAGGGATGTCTTGTTTTGCTGTTTATGAAGAAACTGCGGTGAAAAACTTGCTGCATCATAGTTTTCGAACCTGGCTCTTTAACTGCACTTTGACCAGTAGCATTAACTGTGGAAGCAGCCTGGGTACCCACTACTTCACAGTCTTCGGTAACATATTTCTCACTCACAGGCTCGGGTACCCGTGAGCGCCGGTCGCTAGCCGGGGAGCATGGCAAATCACATAAAATAGTACTCGAATTCATCATACAAAAAGAGGTTGGGTAGATAGTTGCAATGTGTCCCCAGAACATTGCACACAGACTTTCTGAGGGTATTTAATCCTCACGGCTTCTGTAAGCCGGCAAAGAGTAAACTATGGCGGACTCAAGTGACTTCATCCCCCAACGGGATGCAAGCATTTTAAATGAACGAAAAATCATACTACAATAAAAAGAAAAGGTTCAAGATTTTATTTATCAAATTTTCAAAATGTGTTCCATTTTATAGCATAAACTTCACTGTTTTAATAATTTCTCTGCCTGTCAATTTACTTAACTGTACGTGCTGAATGTTTGAAATAATACGTTTAAGTTTATTTTGTAACTGCAGCAAAGTATCGTTCCGGTTCTTGTAAACTAAATCTTTTACCCACAAAGAAGCCAGGTCATTGTTATTGTGACCTCACAAAGAAATGCATTCAAGTACCACTACAATTGCATAAGTATCAATTTATTTATGTTTCCGCGTACTTATAATAAAGATATTTTGTGTTATTAGGTGAGTAAGTACTAGTTAGTAAATACTTTGAAATGATAATGTTAGTTGTTGGAGGCACGGAAAATTCGAGGAAATTTTCCTGAATAAAATTTTAATTTCATGATCGCCCTTTCATTTAAAATGCTATGTTATTTAGGAAAAAATAATCAGTAAGATTAACTATTTCGACGGTTATCATAAAATACATCATAATATGTTTTTTTCACATTTCACGAGCTTGTTACCCAGTTGTGGCAGGCGATTTAAAAAATAAAAGTTAATGCAGTTCTACTTATCATTAAAAAAAGTTATGTCTTCTTTCAGTAAAATATTTAATATACACACATGAAAAGTGTCTAGGGATCAAGCATTTTTATGCGGATTTCTTGAGATTGAGATGTGGCTTTGTAATAAATTTATGATTTTATAAATTTATATGGATCCTTTTTGGTGCATTTCATAATTTGAATCAGGAACTGTGAATCAAATTCGAGTAAAAGATGAAAATCAGCTGTCAATATTTTCCCTATAAAAACATACAACGCATTGAAGACATTATTAGTGCTACTGTTTCCCTACTACTGATTAAAACCAACGTTATTATGGAGCGGCGACGTCATTTAAGCAGGGAAGAAATGCTCAGAGCCGTGGGAATGATAGAAGCTGGTTCCCGGCAACGTACTGTGGCTTTAGCTCTGAATACAAGTCAGAGTGTTATCAGTCGACTTTGGACACGATACCGAAGCACTGGTACCGTGGCTGAGCGCCATGGAGTACGGTATCGCTGCACCACACGGAGACAAGACCGATACATTCAAATCTTAACTCGAAGAGCTCCAACAATAACCGCCATGATGTTAGCCGTGAGGCTTCATCACTCTTCAGGGAACTTAATTAGCGACCAAACAGTCAGAAACCGCTTGCATGAAGTTAACCTTCATTCCCGAAGACCGCTACGGGTACCACCTATAGCAATGCACAATCGTAGGATTCGATATCAATGGGCTCTTGAACACAGAAATTGGGCAGAAGAACAATGGCGTTTCGTGTGCTTTTCTGATGAGTCTCGTTTTGGTATGAGACCGGATACAAGACGTATACGACACTGGAGAACCCCTGGATGCCAACAGCGATTAAAATCCTGCCAGGAAGTCCATCCTTATAGTGGTGGAACCATCATGGTATGGGCGGGTATTTGGATCGGCGGAAGAACTGAGTTGATTTGGATCAGAGGCAACCTCAACGCTCAAATTTATGCTGAGACGATTGTATCAGACGTCATCGTTCCTCTACAAGTGCAAATCGGTCCCTTATTTCAGCTAATGCATGATAATGCACGACCGCACACCGCAAGAGTTGTAAGACAGACTCTCGCCGCAGCTAACATCAATGTCCTGCCCTGGCCTGCTCAGTCGCCAGACTTGAACCCGATTGAGCATGCATGGGATATGCTACAGAGAAGAGCTCTGCCGAATATGGAGGGTATCCAGTCGCAAGAAGACCTTTTTTTGTTGTTGCAATGAACATGGGCGGCCATTCCACAGCGTGATTTGGATGAACTCATTTTGAGTATGCCAAACCGATGTTCTTGTGTTGTTAGTGTTCGCGGTAGAAATACGGATTATTAATTGTTTAAGTTACCCAATAAAATTTTAGAGAAAACTGTTATTTCAGTCTTTTTTTCGAACTTTTGTGTTAGTGGTTCAAATGTCAAAAATCCCTTTATTAGGAAAATGGCAAATTTCTTTATTAATGCAAAGGTGACTTGGTTTATCGTTACTGTGACAAACGAAAACACTTTATTTGATGAATCATTAAAGAAAATTTTAATTAATATCAATCAGGAGAAAAGTTATTGCAAAAATATATGTTGATCCCTAGACACTTTTGATGTGTGTACTTTCCCTCCGTGTGGCATGACCGTGGGACGCCCTGTATATAACAAAGAGTGGTTAACTTTTAAAGGCCTTTCTACAGTCCAGATATGGCCACTCGACGCAAAAACTACAATAAAATGTTATTTTTCGCGAATTCATGCTGAAAGTTTAATAAAGTGAAAATAACGCAATAATGTGATATTTCATAAGCTATATTGCCTATCATTATACATACTCATGAGTACAGTGCGATTCAACTAAGAATAGGATTGACTCGGCGCCATATTGTGTCGTCATAGCTGTCAATTAAACCCGGTTAGGTAGAGTGAGCAAAAAAGTTTTTCTTTAATAAAACTTATATACCAAGATTAAGTGAGACAAAAAAATATCAGATTTTTATATAACATTTTTTTACTAATACTGAGAGAAATCAAAACATGTTTTTTAATAATATTTATTTAATAAGGCAGAGTGAGAAAAAACGTTAATCGGAATCTAGCTCTTTAATATCGGTCATCGCTGCACTACTATCGGAGTAGTCATCATCATCACTGCTGCTTTCGGCTATAAAATATCGATTATTGCAGGTTTTAAAGCTACAACTTTATTTAAAATAAAAACGGTATTTTTATTAAAAATACAGGTATGTATTTATAATAAAACTAAAGTTCTTATATTTCCCTTTTCCAGTACTCATATCTTTAAATTAACATGATTTATTTCCTTCCTTTGTTTACAAATGTTTGGTTTTTAATCAAAGATTAGCTCAGTGCTAAAACAGTGTTTTAAGATTTTTTTGCAAACCGTACATTCAAGCGACATTTGACACATGGAGGTCATCGGCTTTCCTATTCTTATTTGAATCGCATAGTAGGTACATATGTCGTTCGATATTTATAATAAAATCAGCATTTATGGTCACATGTTTTAATAATTCTCCATCTTGACAAAAGTACAGCTTTATCATTGAGTTCATTCTTACAATGACAATAAAATACAGACTAATAAAAAGTTGCCAGTAATAACCTTTTAAGGAACATTATGGAATTGAATGATTTCGGATACAGATTCGTCGTTCCGCGAAGTGAGTCCAGAAGCGCAATTACGTCCGCAGCCATCGGATAGAAGCGATGACTTAGAAGTGTCACCTCTAGCGAGCGGGCGCACGTGGGGCTCGGACCCGACGTCGGGCCCGGGGTCGGGTCCGGGGTCGGGCCCGACGTGGTCGCCGGGGTCTCCGCCGTCCCCGCAGCTGTCGCCGTACTCGTCGCCCGCGCGGTTCCCGCACGACGAGTTCATCGCCGACCATACGGTGCTTGCCGATTACCTGAGGTGAGTACCTATCTAATGCCGCTTCATACTAAATATAAAATTAAATGTAACTATATATCTATATCCTAAATAATGCAATGAAGGTGACTTCAGAAGTATCTCTCAAGTCATTTTTCAACGTGACGACTCTGTATATATATCAATACAGGGAGAAGAAAGCAGCGCTTGCTGAGTTTCTTGTCGGTTCTTCTCAGTACAAGGTCTCCCGCCGTAGTTTTGCGAACCGATGGCGTAGCTTCTTGACCTTCACAAGTGCTTGTAACAACCTAGACTGAATAAATGACTTCATGTCATTGAGTTTTCTCTAGCACGCGTTCTGTGGTAGACAATACGTATGTACTATGTATCTCCTTTGGGATGTCACTCACCCTTGTGTCTACCGCACGGTCGCAGTCATCAGTCTCCATGTGATTATTTTGATTTCCTTGCTAAACAATTTATTTGACACAAAATATAGTGAGTGGACCTTATAATGAAGTATCTACCGGGAGAACTCTACAACAACTGACGTTCTTTAATCGGGATAGGTAGTATTGCGTAAAAGACGATTAGTACATGGCATTAGGAGATTGTTACATAAATAATATGCATTATAAAGGAAGGCTTAAGGTTATATAATATTGCTGGGACCAGTAGGATCAGAGTATCGATGTAAAAGGACATTGTTCAGCGTCCATACATAGTTAGCTTAAGAACCAACAATCATGAATTATTATTTTCTAGGTTCAAAATCGTAAGTAAATGACTGTAAAAACAAAGATTATTGACGGACACTTCTGAGAACTTAAATTATTAGGAAAACTAATTTTTTTTAGGTTATTTTTAATATTCAATGAAACATAGGTCAACCTATGAATTTAGTATAAACTCAGTATGAAGTGAATTAATATTACAACTAATTCATCTTATTCGGTGCGATTTTAAAGAATAACTATTAGGAAAAACTTGGTTAGGTAAAAATCATGAATAAAATAAAAACTGTAGTCTTATTTATTGACTATTTTTCATATAATTGTATCATATTGTTTATTGTATTTATTTGTATATCACATGTAGGTATATTGTGTAAATATGCAGTGTGAATGTGTATCAGGTGTTCTTGAATAATTTGGCAGTATGATCCTCTCAGGATGTTGTGGCACAGGTCCACTAGCACTTGGTAATAAGGGCTCTGCTCTTTGGTAACATCGATGGCATATTAGATAGCCGAAATAGTTAAATTAAAGGAAAAACAATCGCAAATAAACACACACAACAGGTAATCCGAAACGAGAATGCACTTTCCGGTTTATTATACTACTCTTTGGAATGTAGAATGCCACAGATTACTACGAATGCAAACTGCATGCACCACAACCACAGAGTAACGAGTTTTATGCCGGCCCTTCACTTGACAACAGTTTGTCCTTGTCATGCTTAGTAAGGAATGAAAAGGACAGACTGATGTCATGTTTTAAAATAGCAAATACGAATAGCCAAGTGAAGTGCTGGTATTAGGAAGAAAGAGTGTTTTGTTTGCAGCCATAGATTATACACATAAAATGGTATATATTGTCTCAGATTACTTTTTAACTTTTTAATTTAGCTTACTTAACTGGAAGTGTCCGTCACAATCTAAATTCTGATAATTATCGCAAAAAATATACTAAGAATTATCATATATGCCAAATTGGTGTTGGTTCTTAGGCCAATTTTAACATTGTCCTTTGGGACATTCCGTTGCGTGCGCAGCGTAAATGATTAAAGTTACAGAAAAATCATGTATGGCGGAACTGTACTCCTTTTAAAGTTCTATAAAAATGTCCGCAACAGCATATGCCCATCTTTTAAGTTTGACTCACTATAACCTTTTTCTTCAAATTAACGCGGGTGAAACCGCAGAGGACCTCTAGTTGTGACATAACTGTAATAGTTATACATATGGTATCGCGGACTTAGAAGAAAACATTAATAGTGACATAGATGAAGTTATTGTAGCGGAAAACCTTGCATTGAAACAAAATAAAAAAAAAAAACAATAAAATATAATTTGTTCCACAACGCTACCGCGAGTACCAACGGCAACGGCTTCTGAGTCGCACTAACGTTACGTTTTTATGAAAAGTATATAAGGACTTGAAAAGTTCGGTGGTTATACCACATTATCCCCTTCTCAGGGGATGATCGCTTCAGATGGAGGCCTGTAAGACCCTTCTGGCCATGAGCATGAACTACGGGTGTGTTTGAGTCAGTAAGAGTCTGACATAACCTTGCAGCCGGCTATAGGGTATCCATGAGGATTTCACACCCCAAAACCCGCCTGGGTGGAAACAAAAAAATCCGCGGTTATAATTCGTATTTAAAAAAATAATAATATCGAATTGATTATGAGTTTGAGACGCAGTTTGACTTTGATATAAGTATTTTAGTAGAGACACGTAGATTGATATTAATTGGTTTTTCTAATTTTCGATATCGAAAATAAAGACTCCTACTCAAATATATTGTGGTAACTACAGGCAACCACGGAACCACGGTAATAATATCATACAGTATTCTATCTTCATACAAACGGTCGGAAAGCGAGTCATACCTACGCCACTCGAGTTCGAAGGGCTCTCGGCGGGCACCCAGTCGCGAATGCGCCGCCGCTCCGCAACGACGACCGAACGGTCTGAATTGTTTTTTATGCAGTTAGCCGTGCTTAAACGTGCGTTTTGTATTGTAAATATTTGATTGAATTAAGTAGATACCTACATAATTTAGTATGGAAAAGAACAAACTCCGATCAATATCGTACAACAGCACAATTGCTGTTTTTGGTTGCTTGAACTCTTCAAAAACACACCCAGAGATATCATTTTTTAAATTACCTGAAATATTGGAAAGGTGTTTTACCTTTATAGAATATTTTTTATATACCTATCTACTAGTACGTTATTTGTTTCTAATATTTAGGTATTTCGCTTTTTCCATCGGGCAAAATATCTGGAATAATATATAAATAAGTGGTTAGGATAAAAAAAGAGACAAACGAGTAATCTACCTACACTCGCGTTAAAAACAAAACTACATAAAATACTGTAGGCGGGCGGCCCTACCGCGTGCCAACGCAGCGCTCGGTGTAGGCATTTATTTTCAAGGGCGGAGTCACAATACTGTATAGATAATATTACCGTGACGGAACCCTACACTGCGCGAGGCACGACACGCACTTGGCCTGTTTTTTAAATTTAATCTGCCGAAAGTTCGTTATACTGTAGAGCTCGTAAGAGATAAGCAACTTTCGCAATGGCCCTGCACAAGAGAGGTTGCTAAAAATATATATAATTATATAAACAATATATTGTGTCGAGCTCCTCAGTGCTTCGAAAGGACGTTAAAGATCCGTAGAGCCGTATTTGTCGGGCGTGGGGGCCTTGCCTCCCCGTTACATCCACGGGGAAGCAAGGGCGGATCCAGGGGGGGGGGGCATGGAGGTCATGACCCCCCCTGGGCTGGGTACAGATGGACTAAACCCAGGGGGATTTTATTTAAGTACTTTCAATATTTAATATACCACGACTATATGACCCCCCCCTGGCGCCAAAGCTGGATCCGCCCTTGCGGGGAAGCCCTCTACTCCAGGGCGCCAATCGCCTAACGGAATTGCTTTGGAAAACGCTAACGCTTACGATTTTATTTTGTTATTTCTAGCCGCCTGAGGTATTCAAATGCCTCGCGCTCTTTCTTTTTCTTTTGCATTGGTAATAACAATATTAAAAAAAATGAAGGTGAGGTATTCGAAAACCTCAGGCGGCTAGAAATAACAATATAAAATCGTAAGCGTTAGCGTTTCCCAAAGCATTTCCGTTAGGCGATTGGCCCCCAGCAGTAAAGAAGGCCACTAATATGCTGATGATCATACGTGACTAAACTACCTTATTAGACTTCATTTTTGTATAATAAAAGTAGAATGAGAGAAAGAACGAATGATGTCAGGAGGCGAGAGGAGGGCGAATCTCGCGTCAACGAGGGCTCTACGTGGGCGTGGGTGGAGCCGGGTGTGGGGGCGGGTGTGGGGCTGGGGCCGGGGCTGGGGATGGGGCCGGGGCTGGGGCTGGGGCCGGGGCCGGGGCTGGGGCTGGGGCCGGGGGCTGCCTACCAGCTAGCTACTAATGATACAGGTACGGTTACATTTTATTGACGCTATTATAGTGGTGACGGTGGCTTGGCAAATACTGATCGTTTATTTACAGACTATTGGTCATAATAATCTGACTGCCAATCTAAACTGTTCTATTTTCCTAGTGTGTTATGTATGAGTGAATCTATACATGCGTCTCGATATTTTTAGTAAGGTTAGCATTCATGGGATCTATGTCGCTGTATTATTAATATTGTTACGGAGATTTTTTCATAAAGTAGTACTATTAACAAGTCTTTGCTCTGAATAATGTTTGATTTCAATTCTCGCAGTTCATTTGGTTATTTTTGAAGGAGTAATTTTTATCTGAGCTATTTAGTTGAATTTTCATTTTTTTGCTCTTATTCAGTTCAGTAAAGTAAATAAATAATGAAATGAGATTATTTTATTTTATTTGGAAAACGAACGATGTTGTTTTAGCAGAAACTATAATTAAGAAACTAGACACCATTAACACGTTTTCGTATAAGCCTTTTTAGTAATGTGCTTCTCATTTGTTAATGTAGACTCAAGTAAAATACCCAGATCTTGAATCTAATCCACTTCCCCCAGTTCACGCCCTTTCAATAATATTAATTGCGCATTGGATTGTTTTTACGTGTGAAAGTTATGAGATTCCATTTAGAAATGTTCAGATCTAATTCATTTATATATTTAGTATAGGTCAAACCTATTTAAGTTTTCCTGGAGTAACTGGAAGTCTTTTTGTGATTCAACTCTTTTAAACACTTTCATGTCTTCTGCAATTAAAGTTATAAAAAATGATTTTTTGAAACAATAGCATCGTTAATGAATATATTAAAAAGTAAAGGCCCAAGTTACGATCCCTGGAGCACATCTGAAGAAACATGACTCCAAGCAGAAGAGGAACCGTTCACAACCATCGCTTGGGACCAATTTTTTTACACGAGTATGATGACGTAACGCATCTAAAGAGGCTGTCATGGATTCCTGCAAGATAGAACTTCCAGAGCAGAACTCAGAGGTCAATTTGGTTGAATGTTTTGCTAAAGTCAGTGAAAATGGCATCAACCACAAATTGCCCTCCAGAGTCCATGTTTTTAGTAGCTAAATCTACGAATGACAGTAGATTGGAAACATGGCACTATCCTATCCGGCCCTGCTCCTTTACATAGATCAACGGCTTTGAGTTATTTAAAGACTAAATCTGAATCAATCAGGATGCTACCAATATTACTATTATATTAAAATATGTATTGTCACTGTAAGGAAAGTTTTGTATTTCATTTCCGCCTAAGGAATAGTCGAGTCGATTTTTTTTTTTTAGATCAAATAACTTACTATTATTAACACTGGGCTTTGAACAATTAAGTCATGAAACAAGAAAGACATAAGTGACAACTACTTTTCAAGGGTGTTGAACTTAAGTATTTGTAACTGTAATATCCGATGTTTCAAAAGGAGCAATAAGTAATACACAACTGCATGTTATTTTTATATTCTCATTTTAAGTGGACTGTATGTCTTTATGGGAAATAAATTATCTTTGAACCTATTACTAACAATATTTTAGTTATTAATATCTGTTGAACTCGAAGAAGACTGAATATCGAATCGATTATCACTGGAGGACCGAGAAAGAAAAGCAGTATTTATATTGATTATTATTATCGTTTTCAGAGGGTGAAGATGGTTTAGACGTGAGTGGGGGCGGGTCCGGGAAGGGACCGGGCGCAGGACCGGGCGCGGGACCGGGGGCGGGGACCGGGGCGGGGTCGCCGCAGGTGTGGCGCCGCCTGCAGCTCGACCCGCGCCGCCTCACGCAGTTCAACCTCAACCTGCGCCTGGTGAATATTTTTGAAGATACAATACTTATATATGTCCATATTGTAGGAAAACCAACAGCTATTATAACAAAAAAAAACATTAAAAATACGACAACAGTTAAATGATTACAGGTTATGACAGATAGATTACAAAGTTGTATGTAACTATAATAATAATCCAAACAAAAAAATACCGCGTAATGTTTTTGAATCCGGCTGCGTTCGCTTGCAGTTCACTTCGCACACCGCTCATATAAGTACCGTACACGCCTTTCTTTTGCATGTTTACGTATCTTTATATAGCAGTAGATTGAAATTAAACGTTAGAAAATAAAATGTCAATTTTAAAGTTATATATGTTAGTGAGCCTTCGTAATTTGTGCGACAGTGGCTGCAGGTGACGATCCTGGAACGCGTCGTACGGGAGATGGACGCCCTGGATGCCGCGCTGTCGGCACACGGGCTGCCACCGCGCTCCTTGGGGCAGGTGGGTATCACCGCTGTCACCGGTGCCTCACTTGTTAACTGAGCATGATGAGTGTCATGAGCGATTGAGTATGATGCGAGGTGGCAATAACGTGGTGGTTTGATATAACCAGGTGGGGCTCGAGCGACTGCGGCAGGTGGCGGGAGGCGCCGCGCTGCTGCCCTTCCTGGCGCCCTTCACCGACCAGCAGTACGTGGTGCGCCGGTACAGGGGTCATTATCAGGAATTTCGAAATCATTATCCGGTTCATATCTGTCTTTGATTGAGAAGCACATATAGTTGGTTTTAGAGGTGTTAAGCGTAAGTAGGTTGGAATTTAGCCACTCAACAATTTTAGCTAGTCCTTGTTCGACTTTACTCTTTACGCACCTCCACGATATCCAATAAAAATATTGGCGGTGTCATCTGCGTAGGAGAAGATCTTAGTGTGTGGGATAGTCATGTTGCAAAGGTCATTTATATAAACAAGAAATAGTGTCGGTCCCAGCACACTCCCTTGTGGGACGCCGTAGTTTATACTAGCTACCCTACTAACTACTTTACCCAGCTTTACTCTCCGAGATCTGCTGTCCAGGATAACTCTTTAGAAGTTCAATTTAGGTAATACCTGAGCTCCTTCATGTTTCGGAAGGCACGCTAACCTGTCGTTCATGGCTGCATTTGCAGTATCAACCAATTTGTATTTGGCTTGTGTGGTGGATTATTGATAGTCCAATCTCCCGATTTCATGCACACAGTGCGACCAAGATCTTGTGGCGTGTGGTCTTTTATGAAGTTATAAATAAACCTTTTATTAATTAAGGAAGCTGTAAATAAGCCTTTTATATTTTAAATTACTCTTTCTGTGTTGTTGTAAATTATAACGTTTCCTTCAGTGAGGAGATATGATATATTTAGCATTCCTCATGACAGCATTTTTTCACCAGCAGCGCCCTCCTGTCAATGTCATGTAAGTGCCACAAGCCTAGGCCTTTGCTCTAGCAGTTTGGCGTTAATAGGCTGAGGATGAGAAATTAATGATTTTTATGAGGGTGGTGAAATCTATATTCTATTTAACTTGCTTTGAGCCAAAAGGTAAACAAACCTTAAAAAGGTTTTTTCGATAAATTGAAATAAACAAATAAAAAATGATAGTAAAATAAAATTACATTAAAAATACCTAAGTACCTAAACGCATTATAATATTACTAAATTGAAGAGCAGTAATAAAGCAAATAATTACATTGAAATGTGAAATTTTATGATCAGTCTAGGTTACACCGGCCACGTTCACTCTCGAATAAGGAATTGGAAACATTGGTTTATTGGTTTACCTTTTGGCTCAAAGGAAGTTGAATGGATTATGTTATTGGAACCCTTTGTGTTCGCTTATACAATAAAGTCCCAAGCAATATCCAAGAGTTAATCATAAATAAATTCAAAGATAGTATAAAAAAAGCACTTATTAAAAAAGCTTATTGCAAAGTGTCTAATTATATTACAGACAAAAATGCTTGGGTTTGAACTGTTTCAATCATTCCAACAGGTGTTCTATATTAAATAAATCATGATTGTATTGACGTTGTAACAACATAATGATTTGTAAATGTTGTTACATTATGCTTTTAATGTTGTGGAGTTTTTTTCGCTCGTTTTTCTCCGCAGCTAAAAAACAAGTAGGGAAAAAAATGTTTGGACGATTCAAAGGTGTTGTACTAAACATCCAATTTGAATAAAGATATATTGATTTCTGATTTCCCCTCAGAGTTGTCGACGGGCGGATGTCTGAGCGAATACAAGTGGAACGGAGGCGGCGCCGGCTGGGACGACGCGAGACCCGCTGATGCCGAGCTCCTACTGCACGCCTTCAGTGCCTATATGGACGCTCAACTGCCGCATGAGGTACTCACACTACACATATACACAATATCGACGCGCGACCCGCTGATGCCGAGCTCCTACTGCACGCCTTCAGTGCCTATATGGACGCTCAACTGCCGCATGAGGTACTCACACTACACATATACACAATATCGACGCGCGACCCGCTGATGCCGAGCTCCTACTGCACGCCTTCAGTGCCTATATGGACGCTCAACTGCCGCATGAGGTACTCACACTACACATATACACAATATGGACGCGCGACCCGCTGATGCCGAGCTCCTACTGCACGCCTTCAGTGCCTATATGGACGCTCAACTGCCGCATGAGGTACTCACACTACACATATACACAATATGGACGCGCGACCCGCTGATGCCGAGCTCCTACTGCACGCCTTCAGTGCCTATATGGACGCTCAACTGCCGCATGAGGTACTCACACTACACATATACACAATATGGACGCGCGACCCGCTGATGCCGAGCTCCTACTGCACGCCTTCAGTGCCTATATGGACGCTCAACTGCCGCATGAGGTACTCACACTACACATATACACAATATCGACGCGCGACCCGCTGATGCCGAGCTCCTACTGCACGCCTTCAGTGCCTATATGGACGCTCAACTGCCGCATGAGGTACTCACACTACACATATACACAATATGGACGCGCGACCCGCTGATGCCGAGCTCCTACTGCACGCCTTCAGTGCCTATATGGACGCTCAACTGCCGCATGAGGTACTCACACTACACATATACACAATATGGACGCGCGACCCGCTGATGCCGAGCTCCTACTGCACGCCTTCAGTGCCTATATGGACGCTCAACTGCCGCATGAGGTACTCACACTACACATATACACAATATGGACGCGCGACCCGCTGATGCCGAGCTCCTACTGCACGCCTTCAGTGCCTATATGGACGCTCAACTGCCGCATGAGGTACTCACACTACACATATACACAATATCGACGCGCGACCCGCTGATGCCGAGCTCCTACTGCACGCCTTCAGTGCCTATATGGACGCTCAACTGCCGCATGAGGTACTCACACTACACATATACACAATATGGACGCGCGACCCGCTGATGCCGAGCTCCTACTGCACGCCTTCAGTGCCTATATGGACGCTCAACTGCCGCATGAGGTACTCACACTACACATATACACAATATGGACGCGCGACCCGCTGATGCCGAGCTCCTACTGCACGCCTTCAGTGCCTATATGGACGCTCAACTGCCGCATGAGGTACTCACACTACACATATACACAATATCGACGCAGAGCTGTTACTCCGATGGCTAACATTTATTAATAAACTAGCAAACCAGTGAACCAAATGTTCACCAAAATCTGATTTAAAAAAAATGTATTTAATTAAAATCTAAAGAAAATATAACTAGAAAAAATTCCACGCGGACCAGGCAGCAGACGGGACTCGAACCCGCACCCTTCGCAATCCGGGCGAATGCACTGACCAATTATGCTACCGCGGCCCTCACGGACCGCGTCGAAATTCTTTCTAGCTATTCTTAAGCTGCAAGGCAGCGCCATCTCTTCGCATTATAGGTAAACCCACAATGTATTTAATTAATTGAGAACTTCAGAGATTTTGTGTGGTTTCGTTTGAAATTCGTGATTTCTCGAAAACCGAAAGTGCTACGTTACTCAAATCCGGTTTATAGTCTTATCAGACTATTCTTAACTTATAATTTAAACATTCTCTTTATCTATCTCTTACGGTTTGGCCGCGGAAACAGCACCACAGACAGACGGACGGACGGACTTGTCTAATAGATAAGAGATTAGCGGCCGCGCGTGACTTCGTCAACCTTAACTTTAGTGTTTTGAGAATCTCTCAGGAACCTAACATGTTTTGGACAAAAAGTATCCTATGTCTCCCGCCCATGTAATAAACTATATCTGACAAATTTTATCAAAATCCGTCAGCAGTTTTTGCGTGATTGAATAACTAACATAAAAACACACAGGCATACAAAATTTCACATTAACAATATTAATATTATATACACAAATATTGAACAATATACCCAAAAAGTGCTTTTTTTGTAATATTGTTCCTCCTCTTTTTATAAAAAACTCCATTGTAGGAAACTTTTATTTAAAAAAATTATTCATACTTTTTTTTTAAACTGTTTACGATTTCTAACATCCTTATAAGAAATGAAAAATTTACCCAAGCCGTGGCCCTTACAGGTCTCCTGATTTTATCAGAAATGTTGAGTTGTCAGGGGGCGTGGGGTCGTGCGGGGACGTGGGGTCGGGTCCGTTCAGCTCCGTGCACCTGTCGCGTGGGTCAGTGCCCCCGCGGGGTCGGACATCAACAGACATAATGATGATTGTGTCGTCAGGGCGGCGTGGGGTCGGGCGGGGACGTGGGGTCGGGTCCGTTCAGCTCCGTGCACCTGTCGCGTGGGTCAGTGCCCCCGCGGGGTCGGACATCAACAGACATAATGATGATTGTGTCGTCAGGGCGGCGTGGGGTCGGGCGGGGGACGTGGGGTCGGGTCCGTTCAGCTCCGTGCACCTGTCGCGTGGGTCAGTGCCCCCGCGGGGTCGGACATCAACAGACATAATGATGATTGTGTCGTCAGGGCGGCGTGGGGTCGGGCGGGGACGTGGGGTCGGGTCCGTTCAGCTCCGTGCACCTGTCGCGTGGGTCAGTGCCCCCGCGGGGTCGGACATCAACAGACATAATGATGATTGTGTCGTCAGGGCGGCGTGGGGTCGGGCGGGGACGTGGGGTCGGGTCCGTTCAGCTCCGTGCACCTGTCGCGTGGGTCAGTGCCCCCGCGGGGTCGGACATCAACAGACATAATGATGATTGTGTCGTCAGGGCGGCGTGGGGTCGGGCGGGGACGTGGGGTCGGGTCCGTTCAGCTCCGTGCACCTGTCGCGTGGGTCAGTGCCCCCGCGGGGTCGGACATCAACAGACATAATGATGATTGTGTCGTCAGGGCGGCGTGGGGTCGGGCGGGGACGTGGGGTCGGGTCCGTTCAGCTCCGTGCACCTGTCGCGTGGGTCAGTGCCCCCGCGGGGTCGGACATCAACAGACATAATGATGATTGTGTCGTCAGGGCGGCGTGGGGTCGGGCGGGGACGTGGGGTCGGGTCCGTTCAGCTCCGTGCACCTGTCGCGTGGGTCAGTGCCCCCGCGGGGTCGGACATCAACAGACATAATGATGATTGTGTCGTCAGGGCGGCGTGGGGTCGGGCGGGGACGTGGGGTCGGGTCCGTTCAGCTCCGTGCACCTGTCGCGTGGGTCAGTGCCCCCGCGGGGTCGGACATCAACAGACATAATGATGATTGTGTCGTCAGGGCGGCGTGGGGTCGGGCGGGGACGTGGGGTCGGGTCCGTTCAGCTCCGTGCACCTGTCGCGTGGGTCAGTGCCCCCGCGGGGTCGGACATCAACAGACATAATGATGATTGTGTCGTCAGGGCGGCGTGGGGTCGGGCGGGGACGTGGGGTCGGGTCCGTTCAGCTCCGTGCACCTGTCGCGTGGGTCAGTGCCCCCGCGGGGTCGGACATCAACAGACATAATGATGATTGTGTCGTCAGGGCGGCGTGGGGTCGGGCGGGGACGTGGGGTCGGGTCCGTTCAGCTCCGTGCACCTGTCGCGTGGGTCAGTGCCCCCGCGGGGTCGGACATCAACAGACATAATGATGATTGTGTCGTCAGGGCGGCGTGGGGTCGGGCGGGGACGTGGGGTCGGGTCCGTTCAGCTCCGTGCACCTGTCGCGTGGGTCAGTGCCCCCGCGGGGTCGGACATCAACAGACATAATGATGATTGTGTCGTCAGGGCGGCGTGGGGTCGGGCGGGGACGTGGGGTCGGGTCCGTTCAGCTCCGTGCACCTGTCGCGTGGGTCAGTGCCCCCGCGGGGTCGGACATCAACAGACATAATGATGATTGTGTCGTCAGGGCGGCGTGGGGTCGGGCGGGGACGTGGGGTCGGGTCCGTTCAGCTCCGTGCACCTGTCGCGTGGGTCAGTGCCCCCGCGGGGTCGGACATCAACAGACATAATGATGATTGTGTCGTCAGGGCGGCGTGGGGTCGGGCGGGGACGTGGGGTCGGGTCCGTTCAGCTCCGTGCACCTGTCGCGTGGGTCAGTGCCCCCCCGCGGCCGGGGCGTGCTGTCCATCCACCAGCTGTCCCGCGCGCCGCCCCACTACGTGCTGGCCTGCGAGGACGACACGCTGGAGGTCAGCATTACTCCCTACACATACGAGTACACTGCACTCCAACATTCAACCCGAAACATTGACGCCCTTATGTAGTTGAACCGTTCAGTACCCTTAACACGAACAAATATCGAATTAGTATCGTTTGCGAGTCCGAAATGTCATTGTCAAATGTGTACTGATTTTTAGTTCTCGTTACTTTGTGCCGCTTTTTGTTCATGTTTCCATACAAAATTTGACATTGACATATCGGTTTGCAAACTATCCGAATTCGATAATGGTTCGTGCTAGGTGTACAGTACTGTATTATCAGATTCGAAATAAAACTGAGATAAAATACATTTTTACTAACATATTTTATACCAGTATTGTAAATGATCTCATATCCAAAAAGAGCTAGTTACCTTTGGATATACAGTTTACTGTTCACTTATATTGAAATAATTTTAATATATGTTGCATTCTTATTTAAAAATTGTTGCAATAAAGAAAAAAACCCGACAAGATAACTATAGTTACCTGCTCAGAACTCATACATCTTGACCAGTTGATTTATCGAGCGATTTCTCTATATTTTAATTTTTTATTCTTTCCTATAATAGCAAATCTACATTGAGATAAAATATAGCAACTATATAATCAAATGTGTGTGTAACAACGATATTAAATACCCTAGATACACCATCACCAATAAAATCGTGCCCGAAACCTGTCCAAACGGTATATTGGACGATCCAAAGCGCTTAGTAAGATGATCGCGTAGACAAAAACAATATGTACGAGTATATTAAAAGGCATCATTTAAACATTGAAAGTCACCTTTCTTTGTCTTAATTACAACGCATGCGTCAAAGAGTTACGACAGTTCGAAATGCAAGCTCGTAAAATTTTACGACTTACTGCAATATGCGGAAGAATAAAGACCTTATTTCTTAGACTTTACGCGCAATTCTGAATGCGCTGTTACAACATAGCAGTTTTTTTTTCGAATTTTTTGACGGAGCTCTGTGGTTGTTCAAGTATTACGTAAGCACTATAGGGGGGCAAGGGGGTTTTTGCTTTGCTTATTTTTGATGACGCGGGGGGTGGGGGGTAGAGACGGTGATTACGTCAGCATCATCGGATTAAGCCTTCTTAAGTACTGCTGCTCATGAAGCTCATGAATCAATAAAAAAAACAGAATGCATTAAAGGAAAAATGCATATAAGTACCAATGTTTACGTAAGGATGGGGGGGAGGGGTAAGAGCTTTGCTTACTTTTGCTGACGAGGGGGAGGAGGGGGGTAAATAATTGTAATAAATCTGCTTACGTAATACTTGAACGGCCCCTCTGCGGATACTTCACTTTTTAACGGTCCGCGCGGGACTGGTAAACCGAGAAGTGCTCGAGTGGCGTTCGAGCACTTCTCGGTTGGGACACATTTCGAGCGCACATGGTGTATCCAGGGTATTTAATATCGTTGGTGTGTTATGTTTTGAATGCGGAGTAGTAAGTGTCGGGTGGGATGCGTGTGTCAGGTGGGCGGCGGGCGCAACAACCTGGTGCACATCCTGCTGGTGTTCATCGCGGTGTGCGCGCGGCGACACCCGCCCGCGCTGCGGCGCCTGCATCTGGGCCGCGCCGGACTCAACATGCTGTGGATCATCGGACGGTGAGGTGTGCCACCGATACCTCTGACAGCTCCCTAATCACACCGTCATCATCAAATTTTGTATGAAAGAAGCCGGTTCGTTCTTCCGTCCGGCAGAGATGCTGCTCAGTTTTCATAGCAACTTTGAAAAAACGATTGATTACGGAGCTGTCAAAATTCGTGCTCAGACCTCCGATCGAGTACCTACTTTGATATAAGATAACAGACTGTTAAGACATGAGTGTGTGCGATTCCATCGTGTTTTGTAATTAAAAAGAAATGTATTTTTACAATTAACGTTTTAAGTTTGTGAATCAATAAAATGTGGAAAAACCATAATGTTTATTTATTTTATATGTACCTCCCATTTTGCTAAATCGATTCTTAACTTTTTATCTATAGACCGACGCCTATGGAGTGTGACCGTTAAATTTCAATTCTACTTAACCACTATGTTTCGAAATGCAATATTCTGTCAATGCTTAGTAGAAAGCTCTAAATATTAATATATTAAATATCTCGTTTGCAAGCAATGTTGTTGCTTATTACTTAACTAGTAATACTTCTATTAAACAAATACCTCCTAGCATTATATTCAAAATTACTGTAATGCTTTTTGTTCCAAATATAATAAATTATTTACAATGTTACTACAAAACTGTCAAACACTGTTTAAAACTGAGGGCGTCTCATTTTTGTTTATATAGAAAAACAGATCTAAAAGAGAATCTAAATTTAAACTGTTTAAAATCTATTGCGATATGACCGCTAGAGTTATCTGTACTTTTCCTCTTGGAACAATTTATAACAGTGAAGCGACTTTTCTCAATGCTCCCACCAAGTCGAACAAAAACAGCGGCACGGCCGTACCATCCGTTTCTCGAAACAGTTTAGGCCATTTTCAACCCTCTATAACATTGTAGGCGATAAAACTAGAAGCCTGAATTAACTAAAATTTTAAGCGCAATTAAGTAAAAGCTTGTTTTTAAAAAGAATTTTCCTTTTTAGTTATGTTTTTATATGTTTTTGATGTCCTCAATTATATCCATTGATAATTAAAAATGTTTTTTGTTTAAAAACAAGCTTTTACTTAATTACACTAAAAATAAAATGAAAATTTCCTTTAAAACTTTCACTATCAACTTATAATGTCATCACATAATTTATATAATATCAAACCTTTTAGCAATATTTACCTAATAGATAAACAAGATAATTAAATTAAAAAAAAAACGGACTAAATAAATACTAGTATACATACCTACTTAAATCTGGCAGCTTTTATTTTATATAATTTGTGTAATAACGTCATAAGTTGATAGTAAAAGTTTTAATTTTATTCTTTTATGCGCAATTAAATAAAAGCTTGTTTTTAAAAAGCATTTTTTATTTTATATTTTACAAGATATCACGTATAACAAGTTTTCAACTATCAAATAATCTTCACATCTTAAACATTGTCGACAAACTTTTTTCTAAACAAGTAAGAGATAAACGTAGTCAAATACAAAAAGGGGAACGACATCAAAGTACAAACGCAGACATCGAAAATGTAAATTATTTATTAAAATAATCGTACCGCAGACACAACGGAAATCCCAGATTCGCATAAGTCACAGGCGGTATCACCGGAAAGGACCAGCCTTCCGAAGAAAAAACAGCACTTTACACTTAAAAATACCGCATAAGAGGGAAGTCCGTCACTGGGCGGGCGCATCGAGCAGCTCGGCGTCGGCGAGGTGGTGTCGCAGCGCCGCGTGCAGCGCGTCCACGAACCGCGGCAGGTCCGGCGCGACGCTCGCGGTGGTGGCGCGCGGGCAGTGCAGCGCCGCGGCCAGCAGGGGCAGCCGACGCAGCGCCCGCGCCGACGCCCCCGCGCCCGCCGCGTCGCGCGCCGCCGCCCACAGCCGCAGCGACGCGCGCGACGCCTCGCTCTCCGCGAACCGCGAGCCCTCCAGCGCCCGCAGCGGGAAGGCGCGCTCGCCGCCCGCCACCACGCCGCGCGCCGCCAGCTCGGCGCAGCACCCGCGCAGGATCTCGTAGGCGGCGCGCGCCGACGGCGGCCCCACCCACCGCTTCACGTCCGCGCGGTCCACGAACGCCGCGTCGATGGCGCCCGTCACGTTGGAGGTGGCCAGCACCAGCGCGTTGGGGTGCCGCCGCAGCCGGTCCAGCTGCGTCAGGATCGCGTTGACGGCGCGGATCGAGTCGGAGGGCTCGAGGCCGGCGAGGGCGGCGCGCCGCGCGTGCGCCAGCGACTCCACCTCGTCGACGAGCACGCACGCGAGCAGCCGCGGGTCCTCGACGATCTCGCGCACGCGGTCGAACAGGCGCGCGACCAGCTTGCCGCTCTCGGAGAACCACTTGGAGAAGAGACCGTGCGCGTTGATCTCGAGCAGCCGGGCTCGCGGAAACCGATCGCCGAGTCGAACGGCGAGCTTCTGCGCGAGCGCCCGGCACAGACTCGTCTTGCCGGTGCCGGGCGGCCCGTGCAGCAGGATCACCCTGTTGCAGCCGACGATGTTCCGGTCGACGCCCCGCTCGGCGAACTCGAAAGCCGTTTCGGCGAATCGGAGCGTGTCCTCCTTCAGCTTGGAATCGTACACCAGATTCTCCCAGAGACCGTGGAACTCCTCGGAAGGCAGGGCCCACACGTCCGCGGCGGCCGACTCGTCGCCGGACGCGGTGTCAGTCATGGTGTCGGTCTCGGCGCCGAAGTTGTCCAGCTTGTATACGTGATAGACCAATTCGACATTGGTCATTTGCACTTCGGATTCGTAGTCGATATCGCAGATCGCAATGGACTGTACGTGGTCTCTCAATTCTGAGCTTTCCTCTATCTCTTCTTTAGTTATGATAGCACCGGGCGTTAAACATGCAAAGTTAGACAGATATGAATGCACGATCCCTTTGACATGGTCTTTATTCGCACGACTTTGTCTTTTTTGGACCACTTCGATATGAAGTGGAGAATTCATAGTTACCTATTGAGGTATGCTATTGAACACGACTCCGAAATATATGAACACTTTATGCTTTACTTTATCAATAAAGTTTTATTGTTGTAAATTAATTTTATTTGGAAGATAAAAATTTGTAAAAATAGACCTACAAAAAACGAAGTAATTTAAACCGAACTGAAAGCAACAGCTAAAATGCAGCTGTCATGTTGACAATAGTTTTTTTTTGGAAATATTTTTATATAGAAAGGAAAAGAATACTAAATCCATACAGCCAGCACGTTTTATATATTTTTCGAATGTAGGGTGTGACGTATTCCAATGTTTTTTGATTTAAGTGTCTGGCTGGCACTAAATGGATCGATTCAACTATATCAATAAGCTTCTGTGGTTATTAATTGAATTATTCTAATGCTGACACTTTATTTGATATTCGTGAACTTGACAATAGTCTGTCTTTATTATGTTTTAAAATGAATGGAAAGTACAGACTGATGTCCATCCTGGCATCATTCTCAAAACCTAAGCCTAAAATTGACAACAGTGTGTCCTTGTCATTCTCTATTCAGAATACAAATAAGAGATTTTTTTTCCTTTTTTAGGTTATAAAATTACGCCAGAATCAATTCCACTGATGTTTACAAAATAGTAAACTCGAATAACCATGTGAAGTGCCGGCATAAGAGATAAAGGTGTCGATTCTGACATGATTCTCTAAACCTAAACTTTAATTTGACAACAGTTTATCCTTGTCATTCTCTATTCAGAAAGAAAAGGAGAGACCGATGTTAAATTTAGTTTAAATCCATGAATAAACGTTCGTGAGTATATCGTAAACGTTATTTTTTTTCACGACGTTAATAACCACGGTGCAACTTAAGTTTAGGGAATCATGCCAGATCTGGTGTCGAACCAGTCCCGTTAAATGAAAGTGACAGTTGGCCCCTGTAGTGTATCTCTTTCTAAACCCTTTTCTAGGAACAAAAAAGGAACAGGATCAGCCGTGTTATGTCACTGAGATTTCGTCTCTGCAATCTGTGGTAGAGAGACCTGAATTGTTTGCTCTGTGCGAGTTCTATCGATTCTGTCGTAAGTTTTTCAATGTCCGTTCGTAAATTTCACTGAGCTGGTAAAATATATTAAATTCATCTGTTAGGAGTTGAAGAAGAGAGTTTTTTGGTTGTTCAAAATGTGGTGGTAGACTTAAGAGAGATCGGCGCGATGGCGGCCGATACGGCGGTGGCCCCCACGGCTGAGGAGACCCTGGAGTCGCTGCTGCGCGAGGCGGAGGCCCTCAAGCAGAAGCTTGAGGAAGAGCGGCAGAAACTCAATGACGTCACGTGTAAGTTCGTGCTTTAAACTGATTTGAAACCACTTTGCGTACTCCCATCCTGGTTAGGTTATCCCTACGTAATACAATAATTCATTATTTATCGTTGACCCACATAGGATAGAGGTAACTAACAGGCCTGCATGACCGTAATTGTTATTGCATGTTACTAAGTAAATAAATATAAACAAAACATGGTTCAATTCATCACTAAACTGAACTTTGTTACCTTATTTTTTCATTTATTTCTTATCCAATATTTATTTATCTCTAACAAATACTACTATTATAACTTAACCTTTGCTGCCCATACCTCAAGCTCAAAATAAAATATGGCTGAAAGAACTCAGAAATCACACTTGACAGAGTGGAAAACAGGTGAAGGAAAAAATAACCCCCACTTCATCAATGATTTTTTTCTGGCACTTCGCTTATAGTCACAACACTAACATAAACTAAGCCAGCCAGATAGACTGGACAGATAATAATCTCTATTTTAGCTTTAGTTTATCTTGTCATTTTATTTTTCAGTAACATAACATATAAATATAATGTCAAGTTGTATTGCAGTGTCGTGTGTGGCTGAGCGGTTGGAGACAATCAACTTTCCCAACCTGAAGCTACGCCGGGTGCTCAAGGGTCACCAGGCCAAAGTGTTGTGCTCTGACTGGTCTCCAGATAAACGTCACATTGTGTCATCATCACAGGTACCTTAAATTTAATTATTTTGTCGAAATTCATGAAATAATAAACACATATTTACAAAAGATGAAGAAATGTATAAGGGGTAGCAAGATGGATTTGAATGATAAAACTATAAAATATAGAACCTATAGAAAATTTTACTAGAAAAAAATTCAAGAGGACCAGGCAGCAGATGGAACTGGAATCCACACCCTTTGCTTTTGTGCTTAGAGAAGGGTGTGGGTTCGAGTCCTGTTTTCCTGCCAGATCGGCATGGAATATTTTCTAGTAAAATTTTCTTTATATTCAAACATCTAGCAGTTATATACTTAAAAAAAATTCAATGGAACTACAAAATATTCATTATAAACAGACTTATTTGTTTTATTTCTTATTTAATAGTTGGTGCAAAAAAAAGAAAATGAATGATATGCAATTCTGCCAATGTAGTTGAGAATTTTAAACAGAAAAAAGATATTCTTATTTAAAGTTCCCATTTTAAATTAGCATGTCTAAAGTTCAATTCTATCTTTAGGAAATAAGCTTTACCACGTAATTCCACTAAATAAAACCAGAAAGGAATTATGTAAAATATAAGATAGAATATCATTTGATGACAGAAATATTTTAAAGAGTATATTTATAGAATATGCATAATAATATGTATGCACTCCCCACTGTGGACTTCATTTTCCTGATTTCATTTTACCATTACAAAATCATTAATTCAATTAGGTACTTGTTATACATCTTTATAGTTGTTGTATTATATATATACCTAATGAGTAAAAAACTTATTATCTGTTGAGTTATTATTTGCATGTGTTAAATTTTAGAGAGAATTATCACAAAACTTCAAAAAATCAACTATAAATACAATCCATACCTTATGTAATCAACTATAAATACAATCCATACATAAGTATGGATATTTATAGTGTTAACTATAAATGCAACTCTTTCTGTTATATTGAAGTACCAAATGAATTTTACGTAACACATAAGTTGTATTCAGCATATTGCAGCATCCATTATTAACATGGAAAATAATAGTATAAAAGAAAATAGGTGCGTGTACTTATGTAGGCGCGTGAGAAGTTATCCTTCTTTGGCATCGTTTAAAATTAGTTCTTAATTGCATGCAAATAATTAATTACAATAAATTAATAAAAAGTCTGGAAAAGGACACAGTCAATAAAGTTCAGTTTTAATTTGAAAAAATAAATAAATAATCAAAATATTCAATTAAAATCGCTACTGAATATAATTTATTAGAACATATGTGATTTGCACTTGTATGAAACTCAAACACGTATTCCGAATATACAAACTAGAAACATGTGGATAAATATTATAAATATGAATACCTATAACTGTTACTTTATTACAAAAAATTAAGATGTGGTTTTTGGTTCTCCTACACCAATGGTCAAGAGATGGCGCTGTAGTCTCCTGAATCGCGCTTTGGTTCCGTTGTTCCAGATTAATAAATACTTTTGATAGGCCTTCACAATGCAGTCGTTAGCACCCACTAAATAGAGATTCTATTTCTATTTAGTTGGTAGATTTTCTTAAAGTGCGGTAAACACAAAAGTAACGCATGGTCGCTAAAGCGACCAACTTCATGCTGTTAAAATTTTGTGTTACAGTGATGCGCGCGCATCTTAAAATTTCACTCTCATAATTTTTTCATAACGCGCCTAAAGAAGTATAACTTCAATAAATCAAAATTCAAATCAAATTATTTTTATTACAAATATAGGTTATTGTTATTTCAATTAGTTAACTGAATATGTGATCAACATGACTTTTCCAATTTAGCTTATTGTCAATATAGATTCCTAAGAAGTTTGTAGTCTCTACGATCCGAGTCCGATTTTTTTATTTCTAATTAATGTCATATAGTTAGTTTTGTCAATATTCATGCACAGCATATAAAGCACTTACTAGACGTTTTTTATCAATTTATCGATGTATATGTATTAAGGTCGATAGCAGGCAAGTCCTCAGTGTCCTTTTTTTTATACAGAGGTTTTACTTTAAAGTAATTTCCAATTTTTCTGGAAATATCCCGTATTCAATGCATAAGTTAATAATATGACATAGTACAGTAAAGTTGCTTACATATTTTAGACATTTTGTGCAGGTTTCAGCGTATCTCGTGCTATTTGTATTTTGTAATGACATAATAGTACGTTTTATTTAAGCAGGAGAAGTAGGTATCATAAAAATTGATTTGTCATTATGCATACAAGATGAGGTACTAGTTATTTTATTGCTATTACTAACATTATTGTCAATAGATAATTTCAATCGAGATTGATTTAAGAAAAAGTCATTAAATGTCCGTGCTATAATATTAGGGTCAGTTATTATTTTATCATCAATTTTTATTTGGGGTATGTCATTAATGCGTAAATTTTTCTTTTCGTCGTTAATTATAGACCAAGCCGCCGTACATTGATTTTCGGCCGATGATATATAGTCCAGGGGGCCAATCGCCTAAAGGAAATGCTTTGGGAAACGCTAACGCTTAGGATTTTATATTGTTATTTCTAGCCGCCTGAGGTTTTCGAATACCTCACGCTCATTTTTTTTAATATTGTTATTACCAATGCAGAAGAAAAAGAAAGAGCGCGAGGCATTTGAATACCTCAGGCGGCTAGGAATAACAAAATAAAATCGTAAGCGTTAGCGTTTTCCAAAGCATTTCCGTTAGGCGATTGGCCCCCAGCCCATAACGTTTTCTCTCGCGTTGTCATTATGAACTTTCGGAACGTACAGCCGAATATTTGTCCTATAGGATGGCAAGGTGATAGTGTGGGACGCGTTCACCGCCACCAAAGAGTTGACGATCGCGATGCCGAGCACGTGGGTGATGGCCTGCGCGTACGCACCCTCCGGCACCATGGTGGCGGCCGGCGGGCTCGACAACAAGGTGACGGTGTTCCCGCTGTCCGGGGCCGGCGGCGAGGAGGACGGGACCGGCGGCGGGGCCGGGGCCGGCGCCGGGACCGGGGGCGGGGCCGGGGCCGGGGCGGGCGCGGGCCGCAAGCGCACCGTGGCCACGCACACGTCGTACATGTCGTGCTGCGTGTTCCCCAACACGGATCGGCAGCTGCTGACGGGCGGCGGGGACGGGTCGTGCGCGCTGTGGGACGTGGAGTCGGGGCAGCTGCTGCAGAGCTTCCAGGCGCACGCGGCCGACGTGATGGCGCTCGACGTGGCGGCCTCCGACATGGGCGACACCTTCGTGTCGGCGGGCTGCGACCGCGCCGCGCTCGTGTGGGACATGCGCTGCGGAGCCCCCGTGCAGGCCTTCGACGCGCACGACTCCGACGTCAACAGCGTGCGCTTCCATCCCGCGGGCGACGCGCTCGCCACCGGCGCCGACGACTCCTGCTGTCGCCTGTTCGACCTGCGCGCCGACAGAGAGGTATATACTCACACCCCCCCCCCCCCCCCCAGGCCTTCGACGCGCACGACGCTAAACGGTGAAGCTAATTTTGTTTTAAAGGGACAATTAAAGAGTGATTTCATGGGTTGGCGGGGGATTTATCTGGGAACCTTTAAATTAATTTCCGCGAGAAGGTCTTGCGCAACGATATTGCCGTGCAGTAATTTGTGCAGAAATAAAATGTCCGCGGTTTTCCTATGCTTTTCGAAGATATGAAGCTTAAAGTATTTGAGATAAGTGTGGTAATCCAGACGGTAAGGACACTTGCTGTCTTTGAAAGCAAGAAACATCGTAAAATTACTGAATTTGAGAACTGTATTCTAGTGTATTATACTTTGCACCAAACTCTTATACAAGCATTAAATTGTTGCAGTGTTATGGAAATTCTTACATAGGCGTTTCAAGAAACCCAACATTTTTAATGCCTTTGCAACAATAACGTTAATATGTACAATGAATCCGAGCTTTTTGTCAATTACAATGCCCAGATCAGGAGTCGAACCCACTTCGGTTAGCTGTACAGAATTAATGGTATAAACAGAAGCGTTAATGTTTTTTGTCTTTCTGGTAAATTTTATAAACAGACATTTACTTGCGTTAAGAGTCATACCGTTGTCTTCGCACCATTACGATACCGTGTCTAGGTCTTTTTGGAGCAAAAGTATATCTTCCTTGTTGGTGATCGGTCAATACAACTCAAATCGTCGGCAAAAAGAGAGCAGCTGCTATAACGGATTTTATCAGGGATATCTTATATTGAATACAAGAAACAGAATTGGTCCCAAGATCGAACCCTGGGGGACTCCCGACGAGGTGAGGAATGGTTTCGATTTGTAGCCGTTCCTAACTACCCTTAACAATCAATGCTCTAAGTAAGAACAGAGCCATAGCAGAAGGGGTCCATGAATTCCAGTCCAGTATGTTGTGGTCAACCTTGTCAAAGGCACTGCTAAAATCTGTGTAAACAGAATCTATTTCTACACCAGAGTCGATTGATTTCGTTAGTCCGTTGACATACGAAACAAGATTGGTTGCTGCTGATTTATGTTTACAGAATCCGTGCTGGTTTGCATGAATGAAGTTTTTAGAATGGGAAGTTAATAACGGGTAGATAATTTTTTCGAATAATTTCAGAATTTGCATTTAGAATAGATATGGACCCACCAGAAGTGCCTTTTACATTTTAATAACGTAAAAATACAAGATATGATAGGCTAACGATTCTCTCCTTGATAGTTTACTCAGCTGATGTTTGTGACGTACCAATTTTATAGTTAAGAATAACGTAAATATAAATGACTACCGTGCAGCGTATGCAGGTGAACGCTGCGTCACCCATTTATGTATGGTAAACCATATCTACCTGTCATCCGAGCAAATACACTAAAGCTACAAAAAAATCTTTACATTAGAGCATTTAGCTGCTAAATACGTAAAATTAATATTATAAACCAAAAAAAAATATATTAAAGTAATTATAAAATTTTGTTATAAATCTCGATAATAAGTGTATTTTCAGATTAAAGAACATGATCATACAACCAATCGTTGAACATAATAGTAGCATTATCAACTTCTACTTTGGAAATTTACGTGTACGTAATTTAATTAATATTTTATGTCACTAAGATTTACTTGCAGCGATTTCGTAAAATCGCATTTTAAATAAAACGAAACTGGCAAACCAGTGAACCAAATGTTCACCAAAACCTGATTTCTCGAAAACCGGAAGTACTACGTTACTCAAATCCGGTCTGTAGTCTTATCAGACTATTCTTAACTTATAACTTAAATGTTCTCTTTATCTATCTCTTACGGTTTGGCCGCTGAAACAGCACCACAGACAGACGGACTTGTCTAATAGATACGAGATAATTTTCAACTCGGAAGTTAATATTTTGCTATGGGATATAATATATTGTAGATTTAGTTCAACTGAGATTTAGCTAAATCGCTGCAAGGAGACCTCCGACCGGTCGGATAGTTCGGCCGGTTCGAGGTATCGAGTAGACGTATCGTTATCGTATCGCGTGTCAGGTGGCGCGCTACACGAAGGAGAGCATCATATTCGGCGTGAACTCCGTGGAGTGGTCGGTGAGCGGGCGCCTGCTGTTCGCGGGGTACAGCGACTACACCGCCTGCGTGTGGGACGCGCTGCGGGCCCAGCGGGTCTGCGTGCTGTGCGGCCACGAGCACCGCGTCACGCGCGTCACCCTCGCGCCGGACGGCACCGCGCTCGCCACCGCCTCCTGGGACGCGACGCTGCGGGTGAGTGTGTATAGTGGGGGGGGAGGGGGGGGGGGGGGGGGGGGGACGCGCTGCGGGCCCAGCGGGTCTGCGTGCTGTGCGGCCACGAGCACCGCGTCACGCGCGTCACCCTCGCGCCGGACGGCACCGCGCTCGCCACCGCCTCCTGGGACGCGACGCTGCGGGTGAGTGTGTATAGTGGGGGGGGGGGGGGGGCGGGGGGGGGAGGGACGCGCTGCGGGCCCAGCGGGTCTGCGTGCTGTGCGGTGTGCAATGACAGTAAATTAAAACATCTTTTGGTAGAGTGAATACTTTTTTTGCTCCAACATGTATAAGGGGAGCCTAGCTTTGAAAATTTTGTACATATACAGCAGAAAAACTGACATTCTAGTCATTATCAACGTCGCCAATTTAAACTGAATGCCCTTTCTCGAGGAGTTCTGGTTTGTAAGTAATGCAAAATAAAGTATTTGACATTAAGAAAACAGTCTCATATTATATACTATTTATATTCATCATTCTGTTGTGTATTTCAGTAAAAATAACCAAATCAAAAACTCCATTTTCAAGTTGCCGCGAAAATGTTTCTCTGGTAATATGGCGTCTTACTAGTGTGTGACGTCACACGACTGTTATTGAAAACGTCAAACGATACGATGTAATGTCACTTTAACCGGAAGTTTACTTGCGCGTAATGTCATTTTAGGCTCCGCCAATCCCAAGCGTTTTGGGTCACGTGACAATAGATAAGAAAACTATTATCTTTTTCGTGGGTTTTTAGTAAAATTATGAGTATTTTTTTTGGAAAAATACTGTCTGTACTTTTCATACTTTCGAATAACCTATTCAAGCAATCTAGGTAACAAGAGTCAGAACCCTTGTATGTCTTATTCATTATTGAATCTGTTCCTAGAACCAATGTAAATTTAAAGTTTTTCTTTTTTCAGATCTGGGCATAAAGCCGCAAATCTGCGTCGAGACGAGTGCGGGAGCGAGTGGAGACAGAGAAGAGAAGATGATGCAGGCGTGAAGCCGCCACAGATCTGTATTTAGTTGATTTCATTCCGTCGTTATTGTAGTTAAGTGGAGTAAGTAGATGGAGACCGGGCCGAGGGACACTCATTATACATCCAAATGTAATCGTGTTATACTCTCGTCGATACCAAATGTGAAACTTGTAAATATACCCGACGTATCGTTGTAAGCCCAGACAATATAAATATTATGTTCTTTGTATTCCGCTAAGTTGTCTGAAGAGGAATCATTTTAAAAATGTATCGATCATTATTATGAGAAAGTTGACTAATTGCGAGTTTAGTAAGATAATAATTGTACTAGTGGAAATTATAAATGTCAGTGCGTAGTCGGAGTGGAGTGTTTGTGGAGGAGCACCGCAGATGTGGTCACAGCCTGGAATGTGTCGGCTGATATCGCACCGATCGGTGTGCGGTCAACGGATATCTACAGTGAGAGTCCCATTATGGGGCATGCACAAGTAAAAGTATTACCATTATTAAATTGATTTCAAATGCTCTTATTTATTTTTATGTATTTACGAAAAATTCAATTACCATTCCATTGTCACCATGTTTCAATGTTACTAATATTATTGTGAATTGCATTCGTTACTTCGCTCTGGTGACTAACCTATGAGCGTCCATTGTACTACCATTGGTAATGTGCCTTTGTCGCGACGTCCGCGTTTATTTAAATATACTTGGCCACACCGGAAAAGGAAATGCTAGTTTGTCTATGGTCTGGTTAGCAATCGATATCCCAGTGAATATCCTTTCTATGTGCCTCATAATCTAAAATAGGTATCATAAATACAACACTCGAGCATACTGCTTTAATTAACTGGTCTCTTGAATTTTGCCTTTATGTTTTACAAGATAACAGAAAGAAATATCGAATTCAAATAGTTTCAGAGTACGAAATGTCATTGTCTATTTGAAGGGCTGTCACGTTTATTTACATATTCTCGAACATCGCGACAGTGTTCGATCAGTCATCGTGTCTATGACGGTGCTTTTTAATGATCTTTATGTTGTATATTAACATTGTGTTGTCATTCCAAAGTCAGCAAGAGCGAGACCTGTTTCAATAACGTTCACATCTTCAATAAATAGTTAAGTACGTTAATAAGCAAATAGTTTAATATAATTCCCCGTTTGCAGTGGACGCGCGCGTGCGTCGTCTGTCCCTCCTCGTGTGACGGACGGAGGAACTGCCGATAAATGAGATAGATAAATATGATTAATTGTGATTTCCAAAGATTTCGTGTGGTAACATTGTAATTAGTTATAGTTTCGTGGAGTAGGCATGTGTTGTATATACAGGAAGCGAGCGTCGCCGAGTGCGGCCGCGTGCACCGACGAGTGTAGCGAGTGTAGCGAGCACTCGCAGTCTTGTACATAGTATCGTTAAGCACCTTGAAACTGATGTTAATTCTTAGTTCTGTATGTAGTCGCCCCGCGGCGAACATCTCGAATGCATGCGCCCTATGCTTATAACACTGGGTTCAGTGACCGCAAGGTGTAACGCTTGGAGAAGGTCGCCGGGGGCGGGGTCGTTAGTTCGGAACGTTGAGGTGCTCACACCAGAGTCCGCGGCGACTCCGCGCCACCTCAGTGTCAAGTCACTTCTATTCTATACCAATAAACTTGAATGTTGAAATGTTCTATTATTTCTATTCACCTCTTATAACCTTTATACAACAACGCGAACAAAATCGTGGCCGAAATCTGGTCAAAAGGTATATTGACGATCCATGGAGCTCCGTAAGATGATCGCGTAGTCAAAAATAATATAAGGCATTTTATTTAATAATTTTAAGTCACCTTGAATACATAGTTAATAGTCTAAATTTAAAGTTCGAAATGCAAGATCGTAAAATTTTATAAATTTTATTTTATTATATGCGGAAGAATATAGACCTTATTTCTTTGATTCTATGCGCAATTCTGAATGCGCTGTTAGCAATGTAGCAGGTACGGACCGCGATGAAAAGAGAAGGCTATATATTACCGACCATGCAATTGAATATCATAAATATTTTCTATTGACTGGCTTAACTCTGACGCATGCGTTTTAATTAAGACCTTACACAGTTTTCAGTTCTTTTTTTAAAAAGAACTGTTACTATATGTGCATTCAAATTTTTAATAATATTCCACATTCAATAAGAGATTTGCCTTTCAGTAGATTTAAAATAACACTACATAGATGGCTCATTGAACGTAAATTCTACTCGGTCCAGGAATTCTTGAAGTATGATAGGTAATATATAAATAATAGTAATTTTGGTGGATGAGATTTTGAGTGACATAATACTGATTTAATTATATTTTTGATTCACATTTTAATATGACCTGATTTTAATCGAATTTTTATATTTTTGACTATTTATTTTGTGACCTGTTAAGTAATTTTTATTCAATCATGTGACATAGTATTAATTAATTTGATAAAAAACTGATGTCAATTTGCATGCTACGTTCTATAGCTGAATAGGTGAAACCTACAGTAAAGTTATGTGTAACTATTTATGACCTTGATTACCTTGTTCAAACGCAAATAAATAATTATTCTATTCTATTCAGTATGCATTTAAGGTGACTTTCAATGTTCAAATAATGCCTTATATTATTTTGACTACTCGATCATCTTACGGAGCTCCGCGGATCGTCTTATGTACCTTTTGGACAGATTTCGGGCACGATTTTATTCGTGTTGGTGTATTTAATATCGTTGATTGAACTACAATACAATGAACGTTTAAATCGAAAGAAAATTATACTAGAGCAAATTCTACGCGGACAATGCATCAGACGGGACTCGAACCCGCACCCTTCGCTATCCGGGTGAATGCACTGATCATTATGCTACCGCGGCTCTGATGGTCGTGTCGAATTTTCTCTAGCCCTTCTTAAGCTGCAAGTCGGCACTATCTCTTCGCATTGTAGGTAACCTAGAATTTTCTTTCGACTTAAACATGTAGCAGTTACATGCTTAAAAAATAAAAATATAACAAAGAAAGTTCCGTTGTGGTTCTGTATACTTTAGTACCCAACTAAGGATCAAAGGAAATTTAATGAATTACAAGCACGATGTAACGAAGTTCATTTATTAATAATAAAATTATTATACTATGATCACAGTAAAACAACGTAATTGAAGGCACCAGTGTCACTCGCAAACCAGTCTCGCGACGTACAGCCAGATAGGCGCGCCCACTATGACTATAAATACATACCTACTGACCATAAAAAAATCTGACCCACGTCATGTTTTTGTGTGTACGTCATTTAAATGTACACATAGCTTCGGTTTTAAATTTATAAAATGTTTTTTTGTAAAAAAACGTTTGCATTTTCTTGATGGTCAGAAGGGATTTACAAGTTCAATGAAAGGCCTGCCTAGGGCAATAAATATCGGCTGTTTCACATGGTGCAGCTGAAAGGATATTTGAGGTCGCGTAACTACGTAACGCTCTTAATTAGACATTGTTTGGTGTCTTCATGCTTCTTACTGTTTTAGTGTGTTTAACCGCTTGTGATACCAGAGTATCAGTAGTGCCTGCAGTTGCCTCCCCTGCCCCGTGGAACCTTTACTCATCCACATAAACAGCACCACCAAATTTTATTTAGGATTTTTTTTACTGAAGGCCTCTGTAAGATGGAGCGTACTACAGAGAATCCTCTAAAAATTAAAAACAATCATAGTTTTCGATTAATTAAACAATTTTTATTAATTCTACTCGAGAGTCATTTATGTCGTCATATGTATCATATATATCGAGGAGCCGTCGAATAAAACGGTTACTACGCATCTGGTTAAAATATTTTTTTTAAGTCGACGTTTTGGGCTGAATTTGAATTTCAACTAATTTTCAATCAAAACCGCCTAAAACAAAGTTAGAATCACTAAATTAAAAACCGTGGTGTTTAATTTAGTAATTTTACTAACTTTATTGTAGGTGTGTCCGTCATTCAGTTATTTACTGCTTCTGTAAAATATATTTTTTACATAATTATACCGTTTTGTTTGCCAGCTCCTCATAGTATAATAAAGCAGTAGAAACGCAGTGCAGTGCATTTAGCATTCCCACTGACAATCTCGATTGCATCGTTAATGTATTATCTTATTAAAAATAATTAGCACAAACCGTAGTTCATAAGTTACTGATATGAATCTCACGCGCTCACCAGTAACCGCCTACATCTAATGTTTATCGTCTCGTCACCATACTCACATTAAGGACGTACAAGCGAAAACTGTTTTAATATATTAAATTTTATTGCTCACTCTATTCTCTATTAATTAACTAATGCACCACAGGTTAACCAGAGCACTGTTGCCGCCACCACCCAGACCAAAATTATTTTCTTAGGATTTATTCTTACTTACATCTAATTTATTCGCACCAATATTTTGACGTGATAACGTTTTATAAATCGATGAAAGCCGGTTGCACGCACGAAAACTGTGCCTTCATGTCATGGAGTCACGTTAGTTCCGCCCCCCCCCCCCCCCCCTTCTCCCCTCACCTCCGCGGAGGCTAACTGGCCCCCATAGAGCTACGCGGAGCCGTGCTTGGGCTCAACCGAACCGGAAAATAAAAAGACTGTCGGTCACATCTCAAATCAAGAATATCATGCGTTGCATCGATCAATCTAGTTAGAAAGTTTAAAAATTTTTAAGCAAATGTTAATTTTAGAATTTTTGTAAAATTTTAAAAGTAAAAATACTTTATGCTTCGATAAACTGTGGTAAATACAGCATGTTCATCTAACACGCCGGCCTTAACACTTAAATATCTATTTCATACCAATCACCCGTGTATACTTGACTCACATTATTGGAATTATTTATTAGCGCTTTACTTATTTTCTACAAAACTACTTCTAATTTGACATTTCATGTAAAATTAACAAAACAGACATTTCAATACAAAATTAATAAATAAGAAGTGTTATATTTATTAAAAAAATATTAAAAACTTAATTAAACAATACAAGCACACACACTACACAAATCAATCATCACATCATATTATGCATCGTCGGAAAAGTAAAACTAGAAAAAACATTTTTTTTCTATAAGTTTGAAGGGAACGTTCAAACGGTTAACGGTGCTCAATAGACAACGCTTCGGAATCGCCGGAGCTGGGGATTCGTCCTAGAGCGCGGGCCGGCCGGATGAACTCGTCTATTAATCTAAAACTAAAGTAATCATTCAACACTTGAAATTTGGGGTGAGCACAGGGGAAAGTTTAGAGTGGGCTTTGCCCTCGTTCCCTCCAGCCCCAACCGTGGGGTTTGACAGGTCAGTGCGGTCGCAGCAGGCGGTACAGATGCAGATGCACGGGCCAGCCGGTGGGCGCCACGTTGGGCGGCAGGTCGCGGAACACCTGCTGGTGGGCGGGACCCCGCGGCCCGCCCAGCGCGTGTCCCGCCACGGACAGCTGGCACAGCTCCGCCCACTCCTCGCTGGACCAGCCCCCCTCATCGCCCGCACCGCCCTTCACCTGTTGTTACATCGATCATATTATGATTGGCTGAAGTGCGAGATATCGTATACTGGTGACGAACGGGCATGACATGACTTAACCTAAAATTAAATTTGACAACACTGGTGTCGATTCTGAAATGATTCTTTAAACTTAAAACTAAATTTTACTTCAGTCTCTCCTTTTCATTCTATATAGAGAATGACAAGGATGCCCTGTTGTCAAATTTAAGTTTTGATTTAGACAACCATGCCAGAATCGACACCAGTGTATTCTTGTAATTGTCTATGCGGGATGAAAAAAGAGATTGATGTTAAATTTACTTTTATGTTAAGAAAATCATGACAGAATCGACAGCAATGTAAAGATTGCAAAGAACTCATACATAAATTAAAATTGAAAAAGCGCAAATCGAACACAAGTTGAGAAAAAGCACCACGGAAACTCCTCGTTTACGTTTCAGGAAGTATGTCCGGCCTCGCCCCCAGGCCGCCCCCTCCAGCAGGTGCTGCTACACGGGCACCACTCACTCAGCTCCGTGTCCCTCACCGCGGACCGCGCGGGCGCTGCGTACGCGGCCAGGAACTATGTCCGGCGCCGCCCCCTCCAGCAGGTGCTGCTACACGGGCACCACTCACTCAGCTCCGTGTCCCTCACCGCGGACCGCGGACCGCGCGGGCGCTGCGTACGCGGCCAGGAACTATGTCCGGCGCCGCCCCCTCCAGCAGGTGCTGCTACACGGGCACCACTCACTCAGCTCCGTGTCCCTCACCGCGGACCGCGGACCGCGCGGGCGCTGCGTACGCGGCCAGGAACTATGTCCGGCGCCGCCCCCTCCAGCAGGTGCTGCTACACGGGCACCACTCACTCAGCTCCGTGTCCCTCACCGCGGACCGCGCGGGCGCTGCGTACGCGGCCAGGAACTATGTCCGGCGCCGCCCCCTCCAGCAGGTGCTGCTACACGGGCACCACTCACTCAGCTCCGTGTCCCTCACCGCGGACCGCGCGGGCGCTGCGTACGCGGCCAGGAACTATGTCCGGCGCCGCCCCCTCCAGCAGGTGCTGCTACACGGGCACCACTCACTCAGCTCCGTGTCCCTCACCGCGGACCGCGGACCGCGCGGGCGCTGCGTACGCGGCCAGGAACTATGTCCGGCGCCGCCCCCTCCAGCAGGTGCTGCTACACGGGCACCACTCACTCAGCTCCGTGTCCCTCACCGCGGACCGCGGACCGCGCGGGCGCTGCGTACGCGGCCAGGAACTATGTCCGGCGCCGCCCCCTCCAGCAGGTGCTGCTACACGGGCACCACTCACTCAGCTCCGTGTCCCTCACCGCGGACCGCGCGGGCGCTGCGTACGCGGCCAGGAACTATGTCCGGCGCCGCCCCCTCCAGCAGGTGCTGCTACACGGGCACCACTCACTCAGCTCCGTGTCCCTCACCGCGGACCGCGCGGGCGCTGCGTACGCGGCCAGGAACTATGTCCGGCGCCGCCCCCCTCCAGCAGGTGCTGCTACACGGGCACCACTCACTCAGCTCCGTGTCCCTCACCGCGGACCGCGCGGGCGCTGCGTACGCGGCCAGGAACTATGTCCGGCGCCGCCCCCTCCAGCAGGTGCTGCTACACGGGCACCACTCACTCAGCTCCGTGTCCCTCACCGCGGACCGCGGACCGCGCGGGCGCTGCGTACGCGGCCAGGAACTATGTCCGGCGCCGCCCCCCTCCAGCAGGTGCTGCTACACGGGCACCACTCACTCAGCTCCGTGTCCCTCACCGCGGACCGCGGACCGCGCGGGCGCTGCGTACGCGGCCAGGAACTATGTCCGGCGCCGCCCCCTCCAGCAGGTGCTGCTACACGGGCACCACTCACTCAGCTCCGTGTCCCTCACCGCGGACCGCGCGGGCGCTGCGTACGCGGCCAGGAACTATGTCCGGCGCCGCCCCCTCCAGCAGGTGCTGCTACACGGGCACCACTCACTCAGCTCCGTGTCCCTCACCGCGGACCGCGCGGGCGCTGCGTACGCGGCCAGGAACTATGTCCGGCGCCGCCCCCTCCAGCAGGTGCTGCTACACGGGCACCACTCACTCAGCTCCGTGTCCCTCACCGCGGACCGCGGACCGCGCGGGCGCTGCGTACGCGGCCAGGAACTATGTCCGGCGCCGCCCCCTCCAGCAGGTGCTGCTACACGGGCACCACTCACTCAGCTCCGTGTCCCTCACCGCGGACCGCGCGGGCGCTGCGTACGCGGCCAGGAACTATGTCCGGCGCCGCCCCCTCCAGCAGGTGCTGCTACACGGGCACCACTCACTCAGCTCCGTGTCCCTCACCGCGGACCGCGGACCGCGCGGGCGCTGCGTACGCGGCCAGGAACTATGTCCGGCGCCGCCCCCTCCAGCAGGTGCTGCTACACGGGCACCACTCACTCAGCTCCGTGTCCCTCACCGCGGACCGCGGACCGCGCGGGCGCTGCGTACGCGGCCAGGAACTATGTCCGGCGCCGCCCCCTCCAGCAGGTGCTGCTACACGGGCACCACTCACTCAGCTCCGTGTCCCTCACCGCGGACCGCGCGGGCGCTGCGTACGCGGCCAGGAACTATGTCCGGCGCCGCCCCCTCCAGCAGGTGCTGCTACACGGGCACCACTCACTCAGCTCCGTGTCCCTCACCGCGGACCGCGGACCGCGCGGGCGCTGCGTACGCGGCCAGGAACTATGTCCGGCGCCGCCCCCTCCAGCAGGTGCTGCTACACGGGCACCACTCACTCAGCTCCGTGTCCCTCACCGCGGACCGCGGACCGCGCGGGCGCTGCGTACGCGGCCAGGAACTATGTCCGGCGCCGCCCCCTCCAGCAGGTGCTGCTACACGGGCACCACTCACTCAGCTCCGTGTCCCTCACCGCGGACCGCGGACCGCGCGGGCGCTGCGTACGCGGCCAGGAACTATGTCCGGCGCCGCCCCCTCCAGCAGGTGCTGCTACACGGGCACCACTCACTCAGCTCCGTGTCCCTCACCGCGGACCGCGCGGGCGCTGCGTACGCGGCCAGGAACTATGTCCGGCGCCGCCCCCTCCAGCAGGTGCTGCTACACGGGCACCACTCACCGGCAGCCGCAGCCTCAGCTCCATGCGCCTCACCGCGGACCGCGCGGGCGCTGCGTACGTGGCCAGGAAGTATGTCCGACGCCGCCCCCAGGCCGCAGCCTCGACGGGCGCCGCATGCAGGGCGTCATAATACTCTACGGTCCCCCCCGCTCCCGGGGAAACTATCACCACCATGTGGCTCGGTCCTACGGAACAATCGTAAAAACGTACATTGAAATGTGCACTGCAAATGTGTACTTGAACTGTCTGAAAATCTAAATTGAGGGTGAGTAGATTTCTGGCAAGCCATAACATAACCGACTTTAAAGTTGATCCGGCACACTTCACAACCTCAACCCAAGATCGACCCTGATTCAGTAAAGCTGTGTCATCAGCATAAGTTATAAATTTTGGTGTTCGACAGCGAAAGTTCGCAGAGCTCATTGATGTAGATCAAGAATAGTGTGGGACCCAAAACACTTCCCTGTGGAACACCAAACTCAATGAACTCATCATCACTAGTAAAACCATTGACGACAACACACTGTTGTCGTCAATGGTTAACATACTGTTGTCGTTAATGGTTGACAAATAACTGTCAAAAATCTGGAGTGTTTTCCCCCTTATACCAAAAAAGTTAAGTTTATGCAGAAGAACAGGAATCGATACTGGATCAAAGGCTTTTGATAGGTCGAGGAATATTCCAAGCGTTTTAAACTTTTTTTCGAAGCCTTTATCTTTAATTTACATAATAAGTGTTGAAGTGATTGGAACCATAGAAACGGAGATAATTGCAAAAAATGCGATTTTCGTGACCTTTGACCTCGAATAACTTACTCGCAGACACGAGATAATATGAGACTTTTGTATTAGATTAGTTTCCAGAAGTTAAACCACAATGTTAATTTTCCACTTGCTTTATTCAACTTGTACTTCACTGTAATATAAACTAAAATTATTATAACAAGAATATTTAGCAGCAACACCACGTTAAATTTTGGACCACTATTCACGACGAAGGCTCTCGACTGAATACCGTATTTATAACCGCTCCACTCGCTAGTCCGTCTCCCCTTCACGTCACGTGATAAGATGGTGGGGAGGTAAGGTGATGTGGCGTGATTTAGCATAGACAAACTAAGATAAAAACAATAACTGTACTATTGACCGATCTGTAAAAAATGCTAATATTATAAAAATGCTAACAGCTCGGCCATCCTGCATCAAGCGAGACCCTTCGCGATTTGGTTTACAATAAAGACAGGTTTATTATTATATTTGTTTCTTAGGTTTTCACGCACATCACTCATTAAATAAAACTAGTTTTTACGGGTTAATGCACGAAACTTTATTTATTTATTGACGTTTCGTAGCCTTTACAGGCTTCGTCGTCAGAATAAAACTTTTATTTGTAGACTTTTATTGTCTATGTATGAATTTATTATTTAATTTACTTAATAAAGTATTTTATTTAAAATTCTTGTTTGTAATTTTGAGTTTATTTATTTGACCCTAACTACCGTAAACTACCACCGGTTCCAAAATTGGGAGACCTTCCGGAGAAGAACCGGCGAAACAAACTCAAGAGAGGCTTTCTATCTCCTTCTTATGTTAAATTATGCAAACAAAAAGAACTAATAGTATCTGATGGTCTTGCAGTGTGTGCTCGGGGTTGGGATTTTATCTCCTGTATAATAGGTTCCCAAGCTGGTGGTATATACCAACCATCTTCCCTATTGAAATTTAGATATTTTTTTAATCTCAATAGCCTCGCGCATCATTCGAGGAACGAACCGCCGCTCAGCTGCAAGGATCTGTGGTCTATCAAATCTAATGTAGTGGTTTGGTCCCCCTAATATTATTATATAATATTATTTTACAGTCTTATATAATTTCTCTAAAATATAATGATTCGAATCATAATTTATTTTCATATTGACATTTAAGAAATAGCAATAATAAAGCAACAAATAAACAAAACAAATTAGCTAAAATACCGTAAAATATAATTACATTCAAATAACCGTTCTAAATTATCTTAGATTCTTTTTGATTTTATAACAATGGCATACATTTTAATAAGACTATATAAAAATAACTAACACATTCAGGTACAAAGCTAAAAGTATTGAAACAAACAAAAAAAAAAAAAAACACTAAAAGATACACATTTTTACATTAAAGAAGACTACTTTCTTCCGCCAGAGGGCGCTTACAAGTAAACACTGTCTTTGTACTAGCTCTTAATAATTTATTCGATATATTTGTAGTTGTTATGTTGTAATTTATAATTTTAAAGTTAAGGATTCCTTAAGAGATAGGTTTAAAGAATTTGGTATAATGACGGTCGCATCACAATACATTTACGAAAATTTATTACTTGTAAGAAAAAATATTAATTTGTTTCTTAAAAACAGTGATGTTCACACTCTTAATACAAGAAACAAAAATAAACTAACTTTACCTACTACTAGGCTTCACAAAATCAATAATTCATTTAAAGGTCTTTGTGTTCGCTTATACAATAAAGTCCCAAGCAATATCCAAGAGTTAAGCATAAATAAATTCAAAGATAGTATAAAAAAAGCACTTATTAAAAAAGCTTATTACAAAGTGTCTGATTATATTACAGACAAAAATGCTTGGGTTTGAACTGTTCCAATCATTCCAACAGGTTTTCTATATTAAATAAATCATGATTGTATTGACGTTGTAACAACATAATGATTTGTAAATGTTGTTACATTATGCTTTTAATGTTGTGGAGTTTTTTTCGCTCGTTTTTCTCCGCAGCTAAAAAATATGTCCAATAACGAGTGGTAGGGAAAAAAAATGTTTGGACGATTCAAAAGTGTTGTACTATACATCCAATTTGAATAAAGATATATTGATTTCTGATTTCTGTCAAGAGAATATTTATCAAATCTTTATCAACTTAAGTGTCTCGTTATAGTGGTGAACTGTGATTGTTATCTCGTTGCTATTGTGAACTGTTTACAAGAAATTATAAATTGGTGCATTAATGGATTTACCAATCTTATGACTGATAGTTTGTGATTGTTTCGTGCAGTTTGGGAACTTTCTGTGTTTTGTTGTGACACTCTGCCTGGTACAATGAGTAATTACTGTGTAATAATTGGAAAGCATTTCAAACTTAAGCGTTCAAAATTGCTTTATCATTCTAATTGATGCATCTGCAACGCCATCTATGAGGTGCCTTGCGTACGCGCTGCTCTGGAACGTGTATTGCTGTTAAGAAGCAACAGCGTCTTGACGCACACTAACGTTGCTTTTAGACTTTTAGCATTGCTTGCTGCTTTACTATTGTTACGCTTTGCTTATCACTGAACTAGAGTTACTTAACAGAGTCGTAAGAGGGCAGTATAAATATATTTACTTACTATTTTCTACAATGGATTGCAGCGCTCAGTGTAACAAGAAGATTAACTCGAAGGATGACTATATTGTGTGTAAAATTTGTACTGGAAAATACCATCGATTATGTCTAAATATAAGCAAAAAGATTTTTCTTTGATGACGGCTCAGGCGCTGGAGTCTTGGATGTGCCCAGCATGTTTGAATGTAAACACTCGACGGCGCGGCTCTAATGTTAATACACCGGTTCGCGGGCATCACCAATCTGCCTCCGACTACAGTATGAACATGTCCCTCGATAATAGCTCGCCGCAAGGAAAGGACTGCGATGCGGTTACGATGGATAAAATAAGTAATTTACTAGATCATAAAATTCAAACTTCTGTATCGGCCGTACTTGATGAGAAATTAAATAATTACCTTGCAAGTTTCAAAGTCGATCTTCGTACAGCTCTACTTGAAGATATCAAAAAAAAAATTAAATCAGAAATTCAATCCGAGATTAAAAATTTAGAAAATAATTTTACATCTACAACCGATTTTATTTGCGCAGAACAGAACACACTAAAGTCCTTGGTGACCGAGAATAGAGAAAAAATTAAAATTTTGGAGAATGAAAATAACAAATTGAAATCTGAACTTTCTTTATTAAATAATAAAATTTCTAGCATTGAGAACCTATCTCGAAATCATAATTTAGAATTGCAAGCGGTTCCTGAGAGTCGTTCAGAAAATGTGGTGACTATATTTAGGAACCTTTGTAGCACAATAGGTATGGCAATCGAAGATTCTCAAATAACTGCCTGTAGAAGGGTTGCTAAAATGGACCGAAAGTCAAGTCGCCCCAGAAATATTCTTGTGACTCTGTCTTCGCCTCGTTTGCGGGACACTGTCTTGTCTTTGGTAAGACGTTACAATAAAGCAGCTAAAGAACCTATCAACGCACTCAATGCCTCACACCTTGGATTCACAGACAACAAAACAAGAGTTTTTGATACTGAACACATCTTTCCGAATTGCAAATTGTTATATGCCGAGACAAGAAGGGTTGCGAAAGACAGAAAATACACTTTTGTTTGGATTAAATTTGGTCGTATATTTGTTAGAAAGGATGATGAATCAAGTTCTATTCACATTAAAACCTTGGACTGTCTCAACAAACTTAAGTAATTAATCTTAATCTGTCTAAATAAGTTCTTTTTTTTTTCTATTTATTTTGTTCAATTCATCTGGATTTTTATTTGTTCCACAATGTTAGTATACTATCAAAATGTCAACCGGATTAGAAGTAAGCTTGACGATGTTTACCTAAACATTATTAACTGCAATTATGACGTGATCTGTTTTACAGAAACGAACCTAAATACGAGTGTCGGCGATGCTGAGTTTTTGACTCTTGATATGTAGTTTTTCGCCGAGATCGTGATAGTACTTGTATAAAAAAGAGAGAGGGGGGTGATGTAGCTTTAGCGGTCAAAAAAAACTTTAAATGCTCGTCGATTACTTGAATGGCAATCTGAGGTTGAGGATGTTTGGGTTAAAATTAGTACGCATTCTAACAAGTTTTTGATTGTTTGCTTATGCTATTTGCCGCCTGATCTTGAGCTAGACAAACTAAAAGCCTTTTATTCTAACTGTCAGGGGAAAATGATCCATATGGGGGATAATACCGACTTCTTGTGCATTGGCGACTTTAATACGCCTACTATAAACTGGACTAAATGTACTACAAGCTCATATATGTGTCCAGGCCCTATATCTGTGGGAGTTAAATCTGAGCTTCTCTTGTAACCTCAAACAGTTCAATAACATCTCTAATAAAAATTACCGT